CCACCCATGCACCAGGCATATAATAAAAGGGTAATATGCAAATTGACCCTAACAGCAGAACAACTGGGACTGACTGGTCACTATGACACACACTGACCACCAGGGGGCAAATGCTCAATGCAGGAGCTGCCCCCTGGTGGTCAGTGCGCTCCCACAGGGAGAGCTCAGCTCAGCCACAAGCCAGGCTGACGGCTGCCAGCACAGTAGTGATGGTGGGAGCCTCTCCCGCCTCCTCAGCAGCGCTAAGGATGTCTGACTGCACCTTAGGCCTGGTCCCCGCTGGCAAGTGGATATCCCCTGAGGGCTCCTGGGCGGCCAGAGGGATGTCTGACTGCCAGCGTAGGCCCGATCCCCTGGGGAGCGGGCCTAAGCCAGCAGGTGGACATCCCCTGAGGGGGTCCCAGACTGCGAGAGGGCACAGGCTGGGCTGAGGGCAACCCCCACCCCCCCGAGTGCACAAATTTTTGTGCACTGGGCCTCTAGTATAAAAATAAAAAGGTAAAATAATTTTTTTTGTTACATTTTGGATTTTTCTTATGATAAGTATTAGCCAAATCTAATAAAAAACCCATGTTTAAAATGAAACTTTTTTCAAAGTAAAGAATACATTCATTATGTTTTAATTGCTTTTTCTCTAATCTGACTTATAAAAATAGAAAGTTCATACTTTATGTTTAAAGAATTTGGACTCATTTGAGAGGACCTGAAAATTCCTGGTTCTTCTGAGATAATGTTCATAACGAAAGGTCATTCCTTGGTTTCATTTTACAGTTTTGGTTGTCAATGTCTTGTCACGAGTACTAAGACCAACAAATATATCTTTAGTAAATTATCTTAATTTAGCAACACCTTATAGATAAGCACTTTGGGAGGCTGAGTTGCAAATTGAACTTTGGGTATTTTGTGATCTAATTTTCAGTCAAAATATTCTAATATATGTCACCTATTATATTGCTACTTTCTCTATCACAGTTCTCCACTACTTCCAGTATGGCTATTATTATTTTGCAATACAGTTTTTTTAAAAAGCCTTTGTTCCTATTACAAGAATAAAAACAGTCAATATAGAAAACTTGTAAAACACTAAAAATCACAAAGGATAAAACCCAATCATTCATAAGCCAAATAATAAACATTGTTAAATTTTAATTCACTATTATATTTTTTAACAGTGTGACTAAATATAAGTTACATATAACAAATTTCATAGCTTTAACATGATAAATTTTCCAAATTTTGGCATTCTATATAATAAAGAGGTAATATACAAATTTACCATCACATCCTCACACAAGCTGTCCGCCCCCATATGGTCACAAAATGGCTGGCAGGGGAGGGCAGTTGGGGGCAATCGGGCTGGCAGGGGAGGGCAGTTGGGGGTGACCAAGCCCGCAGGGGAAGGCATTTAGGGGAGACTGGGCTGGCAGGGGAGGGCAGTTGGGGGCGATTGGGCCGGCAGGGGTGTGGTTAGGGGGGAATCAGGCAAGCAGGCACGCGAGCGGTTGGGAGCCAGCAGTCCTGGATTGTGAGAGGGATGTCTGACTGATGGTTTAGGCCTGATTCCCACAAGCCCAATCCCCTTGAAGGGTCCCAGATTGGAGAGGGTGCAGGCTGGGCTGAGGGGCAACCCCCTCATCCCCCAGTGCACAAATTTTGTGCACTGGGCCTCTAGTATGTGTATAATCATGAAACATTACTATAATAAAAATACTGATTACATAAATTCATTACTCCCTCAAAGTTTACTTGTACCCCTTATAATATACCTAGTTCCTATATTCTCTGGGAATCATTTATCTGCTTATAGATTTATTTGGATTTTTTAAAATTTTATATAAGTGGAATCATACAATATATTCCCTTTTTTTCTCGTTCCTATCAGCATACTTTTTTTGAGAGTCTTCCATGTTATATGTCTTAATAGTTCATTCCATTTTTGCTGAGTAGTATTCCATGGTATGGAAATATTGAAATTTGTTTATTCATCTGTTGATAGATTTATTGTTACCAATTTGAGGATCTTGAAATAAAGCTGCTCTGAACCTTCATGTACAATTCTTTGTATGCACATATGCTTTCTCTTTGTGTGTGTAAATAGCTAGTAGTGAATGGGTATATCTCGTGATAAGTATTGAGCTTTAAGGAACTGTCATTCTGTTTTCCAAAGTGGTTGTATTATTTTATATTTCTACCAGTAATGAGAAAGAGTTATAGTTCTTTCATATTCTTGTTATCTCTTGGTATGATCAGTCTCTTTAATCCCCTTCCATACTTGGTTCTTACTGACTGAAGGGCTGGATGAGGGGCTTTACTGATCCTCATAATAACCATGCTCAGTAAGTATTATTCCCTGTCTTTTGAAAATTAGGAACCTTAGACCCAGAAGATTCAGAATATTTGTCCAAGAATATTGGTAAAGGACAGAAAGAGAAATCACAACTTGGTCTGTTTGGCTTTCCATTATGGTATATTATGTTGTCTCTTGGGACAGTAAGAAAACCTCACTAGTTTTGAAGGATTTGTTATAACAGAATTTGAACTATGCATAATTTTCTGAAATTTTAATTTATGTATATATCTCACAAATTTGAGTCTGTGGAGGGAGAAAATTATAATTTATGTACCTTTTGTAGAATTATTTTAAAGTCCTTGAATATGCCTGGGCAAAAAAATAGTACATATTTTTTTTTTTTTTGAAATAAGTATTGGCTAGGAATTGAATAAGGCATTTACCTCAACATGAACCAGATGTTTTATTCTTACATAGAGAAGGAAATTATAGAATATAGGATCAAGCTCTCTGGAATTATTATGACATAATTGTATTACTATGTGGAATCCTAGAAGGTAGCTTCTTGTACCCGAAAACACTGAGGTTGGGGATTTCTCTCATGCACGGGGCTGTGTTTATATTAGGTTATGCATGGCAGTTTGGCAGTTTGTTTTGCAGATGTTCCTAATGTACAGTCTTACATCTTGTTTCTATTTCTGGAATGCTTTTAAGTATGACTCATGCCTTCTTGAGGCTATCCTAAAAATACAGCTAGTTTCAAGCATTAATGTAAAATATGCCACAGACACCACACAGCAGTACGTAATGCTTTCTCTCACTGGTTTAATGCAATTTCCTGACAAATATTTTCTTTGACAAAATACAGTATACTAAAATATAAGTGGAAATGGGATTTAAATTTTTTTTTTTTGAGAAGTGGGTCCTTTGATAACATAATGTAAACAACAGAATGAATTTAAAATTTTAATAAAAGGAGTTAAATATGCTATTGGTATCACCAAAATCCAAGAAATAGTATTAATGTCCAGAAAAGCAAGTCTACTAAATTTAATGGACTCAGTCAGGTGAGGTCTACACTTATAGGGAAAATATTGGACCTGAAGAGAGAGCATGTTAAAAAGATTTTGGAAGGGCAATTAGACATATGGCTGGAATGCAAGCTTTGGACTAAAACAGTTTAGGTCTAACTCCTGGTTTATGCACTTATCACCTGTGGACAAAGGGTAATGAGCATTTAACAAATGCTTATATGGTAGTTACTATATTATCAGACATTTCTAAATGCTGATTTAATCTTCATAACAACTTTATAACTCAGTACATTTATCATCTCCATTATACAGTTGGAGAAACTGAGCACAGAGGGTTTAAATAGCTGAGTAAGGTTACATAGCTCGTAAACAGAATTGGGATTTGAGCAGTTCAGTTCAGGTCTGTATCCTTACATATTATATGTTGTGAGATCCAGATGCGACTCTATACAAAAAATCATTTGTATTTTTACCTGGTACTTGACAAGAATGAAATAAATTATAACTATTATCATTATTATTGAGGGGCAGTAAAAGAAGGAAAATATTACCAATACCATTGAAACTATGAGAATCTGATTCCATGCCCAGATAACCATTTTCCTGAATTTATCATTTATTGTATTTTTTCTTTTTCAAGTACTGTTTTATTGTATATGTGTATATTTATAATGAATTCAATTTGCTAGTTTATTGAGTTTTATCAAAATAGTACCAAATGCGATTTATTCTGAGAATTAATTTCTTCACTCAATATTATACCTTTTAAGAGTTAAATATATTGTTCGAAGTAATGGTAGTTTATTCTGTTTTTGTCATTATATAACATTCCATTGTGTGTGTTTTATCCATCTCCTGCCTTTAATTTTATTTTGAATAACATTGCTATGAGTATTTTATATGTCCCCTAATGTACAGGAGTGAGAGTTTTTCTTATATACCTAGGAATGCACCTGCTGGTTCACTGGGTGATTTACAAATGAGCAAACACAAATTAATTGTATTAACTCAAACATTTCAGAAAATGCTTAGGCAGAAGATGAGCAGATTGATGGGTGATTTAATAGTAGACTTAGAAGGGCATTGAATGGAGTAATCTTCTATTCCCAAAAGAGTTGGTATAGAAGAATAGACAATTTCTAAAGAAGGCATTTAAGTCTTCATAAAACTTTTTTTTCATAAAACTTTTTAACTGTGAAGTTTGAGATCTCAATCTCACTGCCAACTAAGTTATAATATAGTTTTCTTAAATTTTAAAAGACTACAATAATCATTAATTGTCTGGGATGATTTTATCATATCCCCTTTTAGAACAAAAGGGGTGGACTATAAAACTGAGATAAATAAGATACTATTCTTTATATCATACTTGAAAATCACTTTCATTCCTTTAGTGACACTTACAGATGAGTGTTCAAATGTTCTTATAAGCTTTTAAGTGTTATGTACCTCTTTGTGATATCATAAACTTTGTCCTGTTTTAATATTGATAGTGATGTTTTTATTGTAAAACAGTGTGAAAATTCACCAGGTGTATGTATCAATGGATGTGTTTATGCATGTGTGTATGTATTTTAATATAATATACAATTCTCATTGATTGCTTGGAGGTTTATATTATATGTAGTAGTTTGATCTGCATTTCACTTTATATTCCCTCTTCCCTCCCTTTAAAGTTTCAGACTCTCTGGCTCAATCTGTAATTCAGCATCTAAGATGGATAATGCAGAAGGATCTCCTGGGGCAGGATGTCTTTCTAATAGGACCTCCTGGGCCTCTTCGACGCTCTGTTGCTATGCAATACCTGGTGAGCAGTCAATTCTTGTGCATTCCTAAGGGTCTTAACATTGATAAGTTATGTTGAAAAATTAATTAAGATTAAGAATTTATAAAAATATGAGGATTAGTCATTACTGAAAAAAATTGTTAATGTTGGAGGCTGATTTGTTTATAAATAGTTTGGAATAAGTTATTTGCAAAGCAAGTGTGTATTACTTTTCATAGCTTTAGCAAATTTTTGTTGTAACTAGAAAGTTCTCCACTTCCAGTGGAAAGGAAATACAAATTCAGTCAATGAATAGCAGATAGAATCAGCAACTCTGAGATTACAAAACAAAACTTAGTTTTATAATACTTAGGGAACATTCTCTTATCTCAGATCCACATTTTAAAAGGCCAAATAATTCTCTTGACTTTTTGATATAATATGGTCTTTAGAAAGAGAGCCTAGGGTTTGTAGACTATCTCATGTGTTATATGCTCTCTTTTTTTTTCTTTAAATAGATGAGAAAACCAATTCATTAAATTACTCGCTCAAGCTCTCTTCAACTAGGAAATGATGGAGCTAGACTTCAAATCTCATATTATTTCCCCTTTCTGACACGTTATCCTTTTAAATGTTTGCAGTTCTATAAGCACATTGTGAAGTGAGTTGAAGTACTCAATTTTCAATCCAAAATAAAAAATATTACAAGACTTCTTTTTATTTTGTCTTCATTAATAGGTATTGTTCTAGTGATTCGAGGAAGAATGTTATCAAATGAAGTTGCTTTGCTCTGAATATACTTTTTAGGATGAAGAGAAAAATCTTTCTTAAATTTTCCTTGTGTTCTTGATATTAATTCATTAATACGCTGTTGAAATATACTTTGTGTACTCTTTTATGTCACTGGTGAAATTATTTTGTTCCTCACAAAATCATGTAGGACAGGAATGATAATACAATGAGCAATTCAGAACCTAAGCACCTCTAGCCCATACATCTCATATCTTTTGTTCCTAGAACCAGTTTGTGAGGTATAATGTGCCATTGTATGCATTGTATCCCTATCCTCACTTTATTAATATACAAGGCAAATCTGTCTTATTTAAGAATGCAGAGCCAGCTACTGAGAATTCAAATTCTAGAACCTCTTCCATTTTAAGATGTGCACTTTACACCTGGCTAATTTCAAAGACTACAATATCTCACTTTGTTTTGATTCTGGCAAGACTTGGAAGCTTGTTTGGAAGGAATGTGGAATGAGAAGGGGTAGGAGATTTTAGGAGTCTTCTTGGTTAAAAATGCAACATAAGTTTATAAGGGTGATGTCTTTATGTTAAAACAAAATAAACTTTAAATTGTGAAATAGATCTGAGGCAGCTTTAGGATGTGGAAATGCACCTAAGAAAACTTACCAGCCTAAGCTGCCTCGCAAACTCTGCAGTGGGTACTATGCTTAACTTAGTAATAGCCACAGAAAAGGAGGTCTATAAAAGCAGAAATTTGGGGGCAAGCCTGCTGAATCAATGAGAAATTAAGTAGAAATAATCTGATAGTCATGTTTATATTTACGTCATATATAAGCGGTTCTATAGATAGTTAAAAAAACTCAGCAGACCACTGCCGCCTCCTCTACCTGCTCCTCGGGTGCTGTTTCTGAGCTCGCTCAGACTGCTTCTGTGCAGCAGCAGCAGCTTGTGTGCTCGTTTTAGCTGATGCAGAGTCCTAGGAAGCTGTCAAAACTGCATATATCCTTGATGTGGCAGTTCAGGGTATTACGGTGGTACAATCTATCCTATCTAATAAAGAGGGAATATGCTAATTGACCCTCACACCATTGCAGAGATGGTGGTGTTCACAGCCAATAAGGAGGGAATATGCTAATTGACTGCCCCACCCTCAAAGATGGTGATGCCCACAGCTAATAAAAAAGGAATATGCTAATTGACTGCCCCATCCTCAAAGATGGCAGCGCCCACAGCAAATAGGGAGGAAATATGCTAATTGACTGCCCCACCCTCAAAGATGGTGGTGCCCACAGCCAATAAGGAGGGAATATGCTAATTGACTGCCCGCCCTCAAATTTGGCAGCACCCACAGCCACAAAATGTCAGTGCCCAGTCCCCTCAGCCTCCTGCCTCCAGAGCCCCCCAGTCCCTTCAGGCCCCCAGCCCCCCAGGGCCGACCCAAGGCACAGGCAAGCCTCAGATGGTGGCTGCCCAGCCGCCCAGGGCCAGCCCAAGGTGCAGGCAAGCCTTGACGGCAGCTGCCCAGCTGCCCAGGGCCACCCGATGCTCAGGTAACCAGGGCCAGCTGAGGCTTGCGCTGCCGACAGTGACAGCAGCAGAGGTGTGATGGGGGCGTTGCCTTCCCTGATCACCGGATTGCCTCCGGCCCCTAAGGGCACTAAACTGTGAGAGGGGGCAGGCTGGGCTGAGGGATACCCACTCCAGTGCATGGATTTTCATGCACCAGGCCTCTAGTATATATAAAAAAGCCTAAGCAGCTGGCCAACCATTAGACTGGCCAACTGGTAGCTATGATGCGCACTGACCACCAGGGGTCAGACGCTCTATGCAGGAGCTCCTGAACGGCAGTGACTTGGCAGCTGTGGTTGACACACCTGGAACCAGAGAGGAGGGAGCTGATTCTGGGATGCGTCACCTGAGAACCACCTTCTTGCAATCCGGGACCCCTCGGGGGATGTTGAAGAGCCCGTTTGGGCCCGATCCCCGCAGGCCTGGTTGAGGGACCACATCAGTGTACGAATCCATGCACCGGGCCTCTAGTTTAGTGATAAAAGGCATGCATCACTTTGTCAAGCAATGTGAATGACAGAGTTTCATAAGCAAGAAGTGGGTATCTGCTAAAAAGAGAATTTGCTACTTTACTTGTAAATTGTGTGCTCATAAGCAATTCATTCTTATTTTAAAAAGTCACTGCTATGATGTGTGTTTTCTCTATTTAAAAATTTTTCCTTCTTTCCATTTATTCTTAAATTTATGGGCACATTGCAACTGGCACATTTCAAGAAAACAAATTAAAAACAATATATTTTTATCACCATCATATGGAGATAAGGTGGAGAAAAAAATCCCTTTTCTGGAGTTTTTTCCAGTATAAAGTAATTTACTGGAGTACTATATAAAGAAATAAGTTGAATGAGCTTGTGATTAAGGACCATTAATAGCATGCTCGTTCAGCTTTTTTCTTTATACTCCAATAAATTAGTTTTCCCTTTTTAGTAAAAACATCTTGTATGCCTTATTTAATTGGATAATGTCATTGTTTTCAATTCAATGTAAAACCAAGAATAATGTTAAAAAAATTTTGTTCGTAGATAATCCATGTAGGGTAAAATAACTTTTGAAATGGATAAATTATTCTAAAAGAAATGGATTCTAGATGGTTTCCCTTTCAAATCATATGGGATTTTTTGGGGGGTAAATAATTCTTTTTTCCCTCCTCCTCCTCTACCTCTTCTTACTTCCCTTCCTCTCCTTTTCATACTTTTCTCTCTTTTTTTTCCTTTCTGAATAGCTTTGTATGTATCTCTCTCTTCTGACTGTTGGTATATATCTTATTTTCACACATGGTAAAATACCTAACATAATGTATACAATTGGTAAACATTGGCTCATGGAATTAATTAATTAATTTAAATCACCCTTAAAAAGAAGATGAACATTACTTGTAGAAATGGCTATCATTGGGAGAACCAGGTAGCCAAATTATTACTCGTGACATTTAAAAAGAATTCTATAGGAGACGTTAAGTTTTATAAGATCTAATTTTGATTATTATTGCTTAAATTGTAAATAGTTATTAAGTGGTAAATTATGGGGTGCAGTAAAAGTAGAACTCTTCATGTTTTGATTAATGCTCAATTTATTGCATTTTTCTCAAAGCTGATACTCAAAAGATTTTAATCCAGAATTACCTTTAAATTCACTTCTCTAGGGCAGTGGCATTGTCAGCTTCAAAGCATATGTTGGAAATTTGATTTTATTTTGGAATAATTTCACTCTCTGCTCTGCAGGAGCTGACCAAACGGGAAGTCGAATACATTGCCTTGTCAAGGGACACCACGGAAACCGATCTCAAACAGCGTCGAGAGATCCGTGCAGGCACAGCCTTTTACATCGATCAGGCAAGTTCTGATCACGCTGTAACACATGACTGTTTACTCCAGGACTATACGGAATTGATTTTTAAAGTAGAAAGAGAGTGGTAGCTCATGGAGTAGTGAAAGATAGCTTGTACTGTACTCTCTCTAGATAGATTTGATCTCGATATTTTTTAGCTTCTGTTCTTGGAAATGCCTTCTTGGTTTCGTACTAAATAAGAAACCACAGATAAAATTAATGGTTCTAAAATGTTGGCTAAAGATCATTATGAAATTTTCTTAATTTTCAATTACTTTCTACTTTTTTTGGGGGGTTCTTAGGTACATATTACCAACTAAAATAACATTTTATTAATATTATTATGAAGCTTGTTATATATTTCTTCAAATTATTGTTTCAAATACTAAATATTGTTCTTTGTTAAAATACCTAGAGAAAAAAGGACAGAGATTTTAAATGAGCAGTTCATAGAGAAAATTTTTTAAACGTTCAACACATTTGTGACAAGATGCTTGACCATTTTATTTCTAAAAATAAAAATTAAAACAATAGTGAGCTGCTATTTTTTTTTTAAATTTCTTTATTAGTTAAGGTATTACAAATGTGTCCTCATCCCCCCATTAACCCCCCCCCACCCCCCCCCCCCATCAGCTGCTATTTTTCTTCCATCTCTCAGATAGGCAAAGATTAAAGAATTTAATTGTTGATGGGGAGAAAGGGCTGAGGAAAGAGCATTGCTGTTGATGAGGTCATAAATTTATACAATTTGAAAGAAAATTTAGCAATCAATATCTATGTAAAGAATACATTTTGACCCAGCAGTTATGTTTCTAGCAAATTTTCTTTTAATTGTTATTCACAGAAGCATGCAAAGTTATATATACAAGGATGTTTATTATGGTACTAGAGGCCCGGTGCACAAAAATTTGTGCAGTGGGGGGAGGGGTGGGATCCCTCAGCCCGGCCTGTGCCCTCTCGCAGTCTGGGACCCCTCGGGAGATAACGACCTGCTGGCTTAGGCCAGCTCCCGGGTGGCAGAGGGCAGGCCCAATCCCTAGGTGCAGCCCCTGCTAGGGCTCAGAGCAGGGCTGATTGGGGAGTTGGGGCGCCGCCCCCTGTCATGCATAGAGCAGGCAGATCGGGAGGTTGCGATGCCACCCTCAGTCACGCTCAGGGTAGGGCCGATTGGGGGGTTGGGGCACCGCCCCCAGTCACACTCAAGGCAGGGTCGATGGGGAGGTTGCGGCGCCACCCCCTGTCAGGCACAGAGCAGGGCCAATCAGGGGCTTGGGGCACCGTCCCCTGTCACACACAGAGCAGGGCGGATCAGGGGGTTGGGGCACCGCACCCTGTCACACTCGGGGCAGGGCCGATGGGGAGGTTATGGCTCTACCCTGTCACACACAGAGCAGGGCCTGTGGCGGGGGGTGGGGGGTTGGGGTGTCGCACCCTGTCACACACAGAGCCGCATGGCGATCAGGGGGTTGGGGAGCTCTGCCCTATCAGGCACAGAGCAGGGCTGATCAGGGGGTTGGGGCGCCTTCCCCTGTCATGAACAGAGCAGGGCGGATAGGGAGGTTGTGGCCCCGCCCCCTATCACACACAGAGCCGCAGCGCGATCAGGGGGTTTGGGCGCTGCCCCCTGTCATGCTGATCCCGGTGCTGGGAGGCCTCTCGGCTCCGCTGATCCCGGTGCTGGGAGGCATATTACCCTTGTACTATATAGGATAGAGTCCTGGTGCCCTGGTGGGGGCCGGCTGGTTTGCCCTGAAGGGTGTCCCGGATCAGGGTGGGGGTCCCCACAGGGGTGCCTGGCCAGCCTGGATGAGGGGATGATGGCTGTTTGCAGCTGGTCACACACCCTTCAGGGTGGGGGTCCTCACTGGGGTGCCTGGCCAGTCTAAGTGAGGGGCTGAGGGCTGTTTTCAGGCTGGCGGGTGACTGAAGCTCCCAACCGCTCCTTTTTTTCTTTTTTCTTTTTTTTAATTCTGGGCCAGCTTTAGCTCTGAGTCTTGCCTCCAGCTCTTAGGCCTCCGCTGCTGAAAGCAGGTATCTGGTTCGTTTGGGTTCTATAGTCGAAACACTGTTTCAGCTCCAGCTCTGAGATCCTGGCTGGCTGAAAGCAGGTTTCTGGAGTTTTGTTTAGCTTCTATATTTGTAACAATGTTTCAAACTGCAAGCTCAGAGGCCGGCAGCGGCAGGCGGGGAACGTTGGAGTCCTCCGTTACTGAAGCAAGCAAGCCTCATGTTCGCTTCAAGCTGCCTGGCTGCCGGCCGCCATCTTGGCTGGCAGTGAATTTGCATATCGCCCTGATTAGCCAATGGGAAGGGTAGCGGAGGTACGGCTAATTACCATGTTTCTCTTTTTTTAGGTAGGATTGTTTGATATCATATAAAAGTATAAATGAAATTATAATGATGTACATTTAGGAGGTAAATAAAAAGTGGTAAGTAGAGTTCTCTGTAGCCGTTAAAAAGAATGAGATGAATGTCTTTGTGGTGATAGAAAAGAAGACAAGTATGTGAATGAAAAAAATTAAGTTGCAAGACAGTGTATATAATATCCCATTTGTGATAAAAATGAATAATTCTATATATATATATTTAAAGCCTAAGCGACTGTTATGACCAAATGACTGGAACAACCAGAATGACTGGTCAATCAGTTGTTATGATGTGTACTGACCACCAGGGGGCAGATGCTCAATGCAGGAGCTGCCCCCTGGTGGTCAGTGTGCTCCCACAGCCAAACTCCTGCGGCCCCTCCCCTTGGCCGGCTGGACCCCATTGGCCCCTGGTGCTAAGCCATTCATAGAGACCTGCTTCTGGGTCGGGGTTTATAACGTAGCAGAGCAGCTCTCTTTCTGTGATCTATTGAAAGTCAGCCCTTGACAGAAAGGTTTGTCTAGCTCCCATGCTCTCTCCCTTCCCCAGGGGCCGTCCGCCTGCTGTGGGGCAGTGGGACGATGAGGGAAGGAGGAGGGAGGGAGGCAGGGAATCATGTGGTGGTGGGGTGCTGATGGTGGTGTGTGTGTCTGGCGTCCGTTCCTTCCACGCCTGGCCCGGCGACTGTCGCTGCCTCTCCTGACCCTGCCAGGGCCTTTGGGCCCAGGTGGGGATGGGGAACTGGGAGTGGGTGGTGGTGGATACGGCCCTTTTCCCAGGGGGACCGAGGTCCAGCTCCTTCCTTGGGGCCGGCAGCCAACCTCCTGCAGTTCCCCCTTACCACCCCCCCACCCTCCGTGCATGAATTCATGCACCGGGCCTCTAGTAAATCTATAAGTGCCTGTGTATACCTTGGAAATTTCTAAAAGGAAACAGAAGAATCAGCTAACAGCTTACCTCTGTGGAAATGTGATTGGACATCTGTGGTGAGGTGAGGAAGGAACTTTCATGGTTCTTTAAATTTGAAGCTATAACAGGAGCACCCAATTACTCTATAATTTAAAAAAGTATGATTATAAAAAACTACTGAGTGAAAAAAATTTTTGAGACCAGAATATTCACATGTTGCATAGATTACTATTAATTACTAAAGGAAAAATATTAGTACTGAGTATTTCCATGTGTGTACTTTGCCAAATTGATAGGCTTTAATTTGTATTAAAAATTACTAACCAGGTTAAATATTTTTATGTTTATTGACTATTGCTTCTATAAGATGTCGATGAATTGAGTGGATAAGGAAAAGGAGAGCGGTACTGATAAATAACTTACAGAATATAAAACAAGAAATTTACACCATGTTTATCTATGTAAATATTTGCTATAACTTATCCACTTGTTGATATGAAGTTAATTTAAATATTTTAATGTAATTACTTTGATAAGCAGATAATACATTGAAGTATTGGAAGAATTGGTTAAGGACCAGAAATATAAAAATTTAGGGCTGATATTAAGACACAGTGGAGAAATGAGAGATTTTTATTTGCCTCAGAAGAGAAAATAACCTGAAAAAGCCCAAATCAATATTCTAATCTCTTAAAAATCGATTATTGTCCTCATTATTTTCTTACTTTACTTATTGCCCTTATAGTCATTTATTCTGTTTATTGCCATGTGACTCTAAAAAGAGAAGGACTTTAAGTCAATATACAATTGCTTGGATACTCAAATATAAATCAATACAAATTTGCTAAGCTACAAATAAACAACATTTAGGTTTATGTCTGACTGTGAGGAACCACTCTTTATCCTCAAGTTAATTCTGGGAGTAGAAAGCCAGGATGGGAAGTTCAAATGATTTTCTTTAACTTTTTTAGCTAGGAACTCTTTTCACATTTGTATCTTGTTAATTTGTTTGACACAATACTGTGAATTTCCATGATGTACAATATACATAGTTAAGATTAAGTGTAAAGATGCACTTTAAACAATTATCTGATATTACAGTGTACTCTGTTTTGGATTATTCTTGATTTTTCTCTTACTAATAGAAAAAATGAGGATTCACTTTTTAAAGGCACTGTTTAAATATTACAGGTCCTCAAAAGCAACTCTTTATAATAAATTGAATAATCATGTTATCAGAAAATATTTTTATCTTATCTAAATTTCTTTTACTTATTTTAGCAAGTAGGGGGAAATTTTATATTATAAACTTTCTCATTTATGAATGCTGAAGCCACTTTCCACATATAACCACTGTGAAAACTACAAAGTAGTCTTTCAGAAGTTCATTCATAAATTAAGTACTTAGAATTTGGAAACCATCTCCTTCAGAAGCAGGCTCTTTAGGGTGGCTGCATTCTGGTACTTGCATCAGATCCTTTGCAGCCACATTGTCTAATACAGTGGTTCTCAACTTGTGGGTTGCGACCCCTTTGGCGGTCGAACGACCCTTTCACAGGGGTTGCTTAAGACCATCCCGCATATCAGATATTTACATTACGATTCATCACAGTAGCAACATTACAGTTATGAAGTAGCAACGAAAATAATTTTATGGTTGGGTCACAACATGAGGAACTGTAGTTAAAGGGCCAGAAGGTTGAGAACCACTGGGCTAATAGGTTCTAATTGTCACTTGCACAACTGGAGAAAATCTGCCTGTGTTTACTGTGGCCTCTGTGTTAGTAACTCAGGCCTTGGCTCCTTACCATGTTGCCATCTTGCACAGGCCAATTCTTTTCTACTCATATAATGTTAACTGTTTGGCAGAGTTATATAATTCATTTACAAAAATCAAGGAACATAAACATAACTTCTATTGAGGAGACCTCTGCTGTGGTAGGTGCATTTAATTCTCAAAACATCCTTAGGAAGGAGGTGACTTCCTCAGTTTATAGGTGAAGTAACAGAGCCTTAAAGGGCCATGGCCATACAACTGATAAATAGCAGAGGTGGAATTTGTCCAGTTTTAGAGTTTAGCTTTTTTTTACCATATTATGCTACTTCCCTGAGAAAATGATGACAATGACTACAAGGATAATAGTATTCGTAATAATAGCAGCCAATCCTTTTTAAAAGGCTTACTGTGTGCCACAGGTTATCTTTTTTAATCTTCACCATAATCAATGAAACGTGTACCATAGAGTAGCTTTAGAAAGAAATGGAGACCCAGAGAGGTAAAGTGACTAACCTAAGTCATTGATATTTTAATATTTTAAAATAAAAAACTTGGAATGTAAATTTTTAAAATTTTTCTTTGGCTTCCTGAATGTATTATGCTGTAGCCCCTTTGAGTAATTTGAAGCTCTTTGGAATCTTATTTTCACTAAATCATGTCTATATATATTTTCTTTTTCTTTTCAAATGTATACTTTTTAATAATAAGAATTTCATTATTTTTATTTAAATTGTTATTAACCTGCATTCTGAGCACAAGAAAGAGAAATTGTACAGAGAAATAAAAACCAAAGTATTATAAAATACTGTCATTAAGGCACGAAACTGGTATTTGAGTGGATATTCATTATTAAAGCTCTAAACTATACAACCCCTTTGAGAATTAACTATTTAATAACTTATATTTATAAATGTATTAACACAAAAAATGTTATGAAGTTATTATTTGATATTACTATAGAGCTATAAAGTCCTCAAAGTCAGGTGATGAACATGTAAGTGAAAAATACAGTAACTAAAAGAAAGATCCTATAGTAACAGGCCATTAGTAAGCAATTTTGCTTTTCGTGCAGCACATTCAGAGAATTCAAAGAAATTAAGGATTAATCAAAATAATTTTTTAAATCAACATTTTCCCACGTGGTAAAAATAATGCCAAGGAATAACAGAACTGCCCAAACCATTCACATGAGCATTTATTAATCCTTTTAACTATGTATTAATAATAGACGTGCTCAAAAGAAAATATAGAATAACTATTGAAACAGAAAAGGGTAAAACAAACGTTAAATATTCCTTAAAAAAGGGCAAATCCTATCAAAAATGCTATCTCAAGAAAGAATTGCAATCACTGTTACTCATTTTCTGCTGCATTAAAGTTTCTATCACCAAGATTACGTAAGGCCTGCATACCAAGTTCATCATGCAAACTGCTGCAGCTACAGCAGATGCACTGTCATGTGATGCTTCTAAGTGGACATTCCCATTTCTCACCAGCAAGGAGGCACTAGCCCTGAGCACTGCAGCCTGGGAAGGGGGGCGGGACTGGCCTTTGACCTGGGATGTGGACTGCTGGCCTTCCTGCCCTTCTTGAAGGCGCCACTGACTGCATCTTGCTCTTCACCTTCAGGAAATGCAACTTGGCGTGGCAAGCTATTTCTAGATTGAGTGACTGTCTCTAACTGGAAAGCCCGTCCCAGTAAAGATAGCTCATCTAGCACCTCTCCTTCTTTGGCCTCCATGTCTGATTTTGAAGTGGTTAAGGGTTTTATACTTTTGGATGCCATTAGCCTGTTGGAGTCATTCAAACATGCTACTGTGCTACTGTCCAGACTCAGCACTCAGGCCGAGTCTTGGGACTATTTGTGCTAGAAGTCCGACGTGTTGTCCACTTTTTGCCAGTTCCTTCAGGACCCAAATGAGCTTTGTGTGTGTTCAGTCAGTGCCCTTTTCTTTAGGGACAAAATCATGTCTATGTTAATAGTAATGTATCTTTTAATGGGTTTGATAGCTTTAATATTTTTTCCACTACTGCTTTGATTCATAGTGTACACTACCCCTTGAGGATATTCTCATTTAGGAAATGAGGACACAGACCTCCAGAATAATTGTTTGCCTAAGGTCTTCTATCAAATCAGAAGCAAATCTAGGACAGGAGCTTAGACAGTTTTTGATTTTAGGTCATGCAGCTGCTTTTATCTTGAAATGCGTTGTGTCCACCTGTTGGGTTGTTAAACCTGTTGTATGAGATGATTTGTCCAGAAGGATCTTGCTGTGTTTTTTTTCTGATTTCTCTGAGAAAACTAGGTCTCTGGAAATTCTGTAGTTGGAAGGGCAGGAAAGGATCCTTATGGTTGATCTAATTTCTGCTTTGAGAAATGATCACATAAAATATCTATGCACCGCTCCCTTCTTTTTTTAAAAGACTTCACTAGAAATTGTTGGTAAGTTTGAAATGTTGGCAGCATTGAACATTAGGATAAACCTGAATGCATTTTAACGTGACCCTTGTTTAAAGCTTGACAGCCTCATGTGTTCTCACCTTGCTTATTTGATCCTCCCAAGAAGCCTGTGGGATGGAGAGGACAGATTGTATCTTCATTTCCCTTCTCTAGTTAAGGACTCTGTTTCCTTGTTTAGTTATGTTACCAATTCAAAGACAGTTCTGAGTTTTCTATTTCATTGGGTGTTATCTGAAGTGTTACAACTGAAAGGAACCTTAGAGATCGTTTATTTTAATCTCTTCATTTTACAAATGGAGGAAACAGGCCTAAAGAGACAGAAATCACTTGCCCAAGGTCATTTAAGCAGATAAAGCAAAACCAAGAACTGGAACCCAGCTTTCCTGATTTCCAGTCCCTGTAAGAACCACAAGTATAATTTGCATTGCAAGTAAAATTAGGCCATGCTCTGCTATTTTCTATATTTTCATATTGTTTTTGTTTCTTGGAAATAGTGTGCAGTTCGTGCAGCCACAGAAGGCAGAACTCTCGTTTTGGAAGGCTTGGAAAAGGCGGAGAGGAATGTTTTGCCTGTTTTGAACAACTTGCTGGAAAACAGGGAGATGCAGCTTGAAGATGGACGCTTCCTAATGTCTGCAGAGCGTTATGACAAACTTCTCAAGGTAAGAAAAGAAAAGTTCAGCTGCTCTGTCTGAACTGCTGAGCTGTGGGCAGTGCCGTTGTTGTGTGAGACACACTGTAGCAGAATGAGGACACATGTTCAGGGGCCCATATCTGTGGCAAATTGCTTAAGTCAGGTCATGAGTCTGCAGTTTTACAAGACTCTTCTAATATTTGCTGGCCATTTTAGAAAATCTCCAAGATTTTTACTTTATCTTGCCAATCTAATAACTTTCTTTTCCCCTTCCTCCCTCTTTCCCTCCCTCCTCCCTCCTTTCCTTTTTTCTTTCCTTTCCCTTTATCTTTCTTTCTCCTTTTAATTCTTCTTCCCTTTCCTTCTCCTTTCCTATCTTCCTTTTTCCATCTCTCAACAACTATTTACTAAAAGCCTAATGGCTTTTAGACAGTAGTGGGAATACAAAGCTGAAAAAAGTTCAGTTCTTGGCCTCAGGAAGCAAAAAGTCCAGTAGATATTGACAAAAATTAGTAGATATTTAAAAGATACCCTGGCCCTGCTAGAATTCCCTTTACTACACCTTAAACATGTCAGATGGGCATTCGCCTACCTGATAGTTGCTTTGCACAAGCACTTGACTCTTCTGGAATGGTTTTCTCCCATATATCTGTCCAGCTTACTTCTATACCTCCTTCAAGTCTTTGCTTAAATATTATATTATACTAGAGGCCCAGTGCATGGATTTGTGCACTAGTGGGGTCCCTCGGCCTGGCCTGTGCCCTTTTGCAATCCAGGACCCCTCAGGGGATGTCGGGGAGCCGGTTTGGGCCCGATCTCTGCAGGCCAGGCTGAGGGACCCCACTGGTGCACGAATCCGTGCACTGGGCCTCTAGTATGCATATAAGATCTTTGGTTAATCTCTTCCCGCCCTCCCCCCCTCCCTCCTTCCCTATGAGATCCATCAGTCTGTTCCATGTTTCCATGCCTGTGATTTCTGCTTCTGCATTGAACGTCTGTCCCTTGGTGGTCAGTGCACATCAAGGGTACCTGTCGGCCAGTTGCTTAGGGCTTTTATATATATAGATAGATTATCAATGAAGCCTGCCCTCACCCTCTATTTAAAACTATAATGTGCCCTCTATCCGCATACTCCCTTACCCCACTCTATTTTCCCCCCATAAAGTCTAGCATTCTATGTGCTTTACTTATTATGTTTTTAGTTCATTCTCTGCTTCCCTTTATTAGACTCTGACTTTCACAAGGGGAGGGTTTTTTTTTTTTTCTTGTATATACTTCTTTTTTTTTTTTATTGCTTAAAGTATTACAAAGAGTATTACATATGTCTCCTTTTTTTTTTCCCCGCCCTTGACAATCCCCTGGCCTAAGGGGAGGGGTTTTTGTCACTGATGTTATCTCAACTCTCAGGGCAATGCCTGGAACCAGGTAGGTGCTCAATAACTGTTAGATGGATGAATAAGTGAAATAAAATCTTTAAATGCTGTGATACAAGTGTGTATAAAGAGGGCCACAAGTGATTGTGGGGCTTCAGAGACTTTGGAGAAGGGGTTCGTGTAGTGCTACAAAAGGACCAGAAGACAGCCCTGTTCGTTCATCTTCAGCCGTACCACACTGCAGCTCTCTGGCTAACCAGGTCCCAAGGGACTGATTGTTCTGCCTCTGCATTCTAGGATTTAGTCTCTCTCGCACCTGTTCTGTAGAGATACAAATGTGTTAATCTTATTACCCCAAGTTGGTTACAAATTGCTCAAGAACAGGATCTGTGTCTTAGGCTTCTTTTTGATCCTGCTCCCAGGGAGCTAATACAAGCCCAAAACAACCTAGGCATCAAATAATAGATGATACCAGAGGGTCTGATGAAACTGATGCCATGACTGCTAGGACCAGGAGCATCTCTTTCTGATTTCACTGTATGAGTCTGTTTTCTTGGAAACCGGTTTGGCAACCCTTTCAGTACTCTTGTTTCTTCACTGTTTCCTAGCTGGTGTTTTCATTGTGCAGTATAGTTGTTTTCTTTTGTCTGTATCTAAAGATGGTACCATACTAGTATAATAATAAAGGGATACTTGATAATTTATTATTTTTATTGATTTTTTTTAAAGAGAGGAACAGAGGAAAGGGGGGAGAGAGAGAGAGAGAGAGAGAGAGAGAGACATTGATGTAAGAGAGAAACATCAATATGCTGCCTCCTGCACGTGCCCTGATCAGGAATCAAATCCACTTTTGGTGTATGGGATGATGCTCCAACCAATTGAGCCACACCAGCCAGGGCAATACTTGAGGATTTAATCAGTAAGAAAAGTTAAAATCATTCGTTCATATTGTTATAGTTAATTTATTTAAATGAAAGCCAGTTTATTATTATTATTATTATTATTATTATTATTATTTTATTATTATTTAAATATATTTTATTTATTTTTTCAGAGAGGAAGGGAGAGGGACAGAGAGTTAGAAACATCGATGAGCGAGAAACATCGATCAGCTGCCTCCCGCATGCCCCACACCGGGGATGTGCCCACAGCCAAGGCACATGCCCTCGACTGGAATCGGACCTGGGACCCTTGAGTCCGCAGGCCGACGCTCTATCCACTGAGCCAAACCGGTTAGGGCTTATTTTTTAAAAATCTTGTTTTATCAATTTATATATTACAAATAAAGAATAATAATTGTTGTTTATTTTAAAAGTAGATAGATATGATACAGAACATTTTCTCTTTAGAAACTTTCTAATCCTATCTAATAATAGACAAACATGGTAATTGACCATACCTTTGCTATGCTCCCCATTGGCTAATCAGGGCGATATGCAAATTAACCGCCAACAAAGATGGCGGTTAATTTGCATATGTAGGCGCAATGCTGGGAGGGAAAAGGGGAAGGACGGAAGAAGCCACCTGCTGCTGATGGTGATTGGACACCCAGGCGGCAGGCAAGAGCCGGGTGGCAGCCTCCGGCCCATGATAGAAGAACTGGGGCCACCTTTTCCTGCCCCCCAGCCGGTGATCGGAGAAGCCGGGTGGGGCAGGGAAGAGGCGGCTGCCAGCAGCCGCCTCTTCCCTGCCCTTCCCTGGCTGGTGATCAGTGATCGGAGAAGCTGGGCGGGGCAGGGAAGAGGTGGTCCCTCTTCCCTACCCTTACACACCGGTGTTGGGAGAAGTACCTGTATTTTTTTTTTTCAAAGTACCTGTATTTTTAATAATTTCTTGACATGGTAAAAGAATTTTACATTACGATCCAGGGGTCGTGGGGTGAGGAGAAGGAGCAGCAGAACAATCCAACAAACAAAAAGGGAAACAGAAATGCGTGGTGGAAGGGATTTGAAGGGTGGGTAGGGGCATTGCCCAACTAAAATGCAATTGGTTTGTTACTGAGTACTATTCATGGGAAGACAGCATCCTGACTCCTTCTCTATACAGTATATTGGGAGTAAAAATGATGCATCCAGGTGGAAATATGATTAGGGGTTGGAAGACAGACAGGGAAAGAAGAAGTCAGAAATAGACACTGAGAGAGTCACTGGCTGGCTGGCTGCAAATACTGACTCTCCAGTAGTGATAGAATAAAAAAGTGGGGGATATCTCTGGAAGATTCAAGAGGTAGGGGGCAACTCTTCTATGGTTTTGACTTGCCCAGCAGATTTCCACATACACATGTGTACACGCCTATGTTTGCATGCACACACATATACACATAACTGACTGCCCTCCCAGGAAGCACAGATGAAGAAGAAGCTGCCAGAAGAAGAAGCTGCCCACCTTTGGTCCAGGCTGCAGCCACCCGGAGAAGCTGCCAGCCCTGTGGTCCAGGGCGCCAGCACCTGTGGCCAGGGAAATAGGTTGCCTCTTCTCCTACTGCAGTCATTACTTCAATATTCCCCTTCTGAATTTCTCTCCTGTGCTGCAACCCAACTCCACTTTTCATCAGAAGGATATAGAACAGAGAGAGCAGTGTTAAAAGCTTACATTTTTAAGCCGGTAAGGTTGGTACTTAAACATATAAATGGAAAACTAGAGTCCTTAAGGTAACAAAGGCTACAAAGGACAGGGACAGCACATGACCTATTATATCCAGCAATCCATATGGGGACTGAAAACTTTGCAATGATGACAATTAGTGAAGATATGAATCAACTAAAATAGTTGACAGGGACAATTCTTCCATCTTTGAAAATATCTATATCAAATCTGTTTAAATAGATTTTCATCTGCATAATATAACACATTCTGACAAGACCACCACCACAACCAATGTAGTCAGTGTTGTGCCAATAAATGTTTAATAACTGGGGGACTCCCCCCCCACCGAGTGCACAAATTTTTGTGCATCGGGCTACTTGTTACAAAATAATTATTTGTCTCTATATAGTTATTTGGCCTCTTTTAGTAAATTACAGTGGGGCCTTGACTTACAAGTTTAATTTGTTCCGTGACGGAGCTCGTAACTCAAATTACTCATATGTCAAATCAACAGTGAACGAGTGAGACATGTGATGCTGGGCTGATATTGTGGTGTTCACTGTGACGTTCGCTGCGCTAACTAGCGGAGGGGTATCTGAAGCTGATTTGTAACCCGAATTTTAGTTCGCAAATCAAAGCAAAAAATCAGCCGAGAGACAGCTCATATCTCGAAAAACTCGTTAGTCGGGACACTCGTAAGTCAAGGCCCCACTGTATTTGAAAAAGAATACTTAGATTATTGAATCATTCTTTTAAGTATATGAGTTACTTCATAATAAGAACTTCAATATATTATTTGTTCGTGTAGTAGAATTCTGTGCAAAGTTATTGAACATATTACTTTGGATAGGAATTTGGGGTATGGGGTCAAGCAGGTTTTAGTTTACAAGGAGTGCTTATTATTATTAAATGAGAAGGATGTACTACATTTTTTCCAATGTAATTATCAGTATAAATACATAATTTTTATTGGTAAGTATAATTTCTGTATTCATAGAATCTGTCTCATGGGAACCTCACAGAATATAGGCAAGATATTTTCACAAAACACCACCACGTTAAAAGGATTTGAACACCATAACTGAAGTCCCATATATTTCTAGCTAGATTCAATATACTAAATTAGAATATCTCAAAATGTTAATGATTTCATAGAGGTGATTATAGTAGAATGTTATTATGGAAACAGATACAGTTGGCTTATATAAATTTTATTTATATTCTGATTATAATTTTCAGATAAGTGGAAAATAGAAATATTTAGTTCTCTGAAAATTATACTCTTGGTTTCTCAGACAGGGTTATATCCAGATTCTTGTTTTTGAGTGCATATGACATAGTGTAGTGTTAGTCCTATTAATTAAATGTAGGGTCACAGTTTTGGTAATGTTAGAAACAATTGTTCATTATGTTTTTTATTTTATTTTTTAAAAATATATATTTTATTGATTTTTCACAGAGAGGAAGGGAGAGGGATAGAGAGTTAGAAACATCGATGAGGGAGAAACATCGATCTGCTGCCTCCTGCACACCCCCTACTGGGCATGTGCCTGCAACCAAGAATCGGACAAGGTGCATGCCTTTCAGTCCGCAGGCTCTATCCACTGAGCCAAACCAGTTAGGGCTCATTATGTTTTTTAATTATTTCATGCAGTCAATCAACAGACATTTGTCCTGCTATGTGCTAGAGGTAATAAGTCCTTGGATCCAGCAAGAGAAAATCATGTACAGAAGTCAGTGCACAAATGTATGATGATAGATGGTTGCGTAGGACATAGTGGAGGGGTACGAGAGTGGTTCTGATGGAAGGAGGGGATGAGAAAGGGTCCCATTTTAAAGAAGATATTTTTTGTGCTGAGCTTTGAATAATACTTGTGTTTAGGCTGTGCAAAGTGGAAAGAGTGTTCCAAACAAGTGGAGCAGTATTGGTGAAGCAGCATGATGTATCTGGAAGCCACAGTTGTGAGATGGGCACAAGCACAGAGTCATGGAAGGCGGGCTGAGGGGATGGGTGTGAAGTGGTTGCCAAGACTGGGAGAATCAGACATGAATCTGGCCAGGAAAGGCCTTGATAGTCATGTTAAAAGTTTCTACACTGGCCGAAACCAGTTTGACTCAGTGGATAGAGCGTCGGCCTGCGGACTCAAAGGTCCCAGGTTCGATTCCGGTCAAGGGCATGTACCTGGGTTGCGGGCACATCCCCAGTAGGAGATGTGCAGGAGGCAGCTGATCGATGTTTCTCTCTCATCGATGTTTCTAACTCTCTATCTCTCTCCCTTCCTCTCTGTGAAAAATCAATAAAATATATTTAAAAAAAAAAAAGTTTCTACACTGTCATATGGGCCACATTCATATGAACTTTGTAAGCTCCGTGGATTCAACAGCTGAACACAGTGAAGAGCCATGGATAAAGTCAGGCAGATGTAAGGAATAGCATTTAATAGGTGCCTGCTATGGACCAGTTGCTTTTACATATATAATCACATTTAATTTTCATAAAGCCATAATAATGTTGGTGATATTATTCCCACTTTATAGGTGAGAAAGCTGAGGCTCAGAGAGTGCACTAGAGCCAGGATTTAGCAATCTAAAACCTGCACTGTTTCCAGTCTCTCAGCTCCACCATATACTAGTTGCAGGACCAGGGGAAAGTTATATAACTCCTCTGAACAGCAGTTGGTTCACTCATAAAAAGCAATTAAATGACTGTTTAGATTCTGGTGAAAGTTAAATGAGAAAAATTCATGGAAAGTGCTTACCATGTAGTAAGTTTTCAATACATGTTGGTTATGACTATTATTCTACCTTGGTAGAAATATACCCATAGACATAATTATCTGTTTAAGGCCCATGGGCAAGCTCTGCTCTCTGGGTCTACTTTTTTACATCCTTTGGTCTTAGCCGGTACATTGTCCTTACCCTCGTAACTCTGTTACTCTGTGTGACTTCATTTGACTTAGAAACTGACCCATATCTCCTTTGTTCCTCGATATGTTCACTGCCTCTCCTTTCAACACCAGTCTTCATATTGTGAGCCTTCCCTGGCATCCTGATCCTCCTTTCACTTTGTTTCCTTCCTTGGCAGTTTGACATTGAGAATTTTCTCAAGTAGGTTACTCAGTAGTCAGGGCCCAAATTTCTTAGCCTAGAAGCTCTTACAGTTGTAACTTGTATTAGTTATGATGTAATTTTTGATCTCATATTCTTTAAGGATCATACGAAAGCAGAACTGGATGCGTGGAAGATTGTTCGAGTTAGTGAAAATTTCCGAGTGATTGCTTTGGGCTTGCCAGTGCCTAGGTACTCTGGGAATCCATTAGACCCCCCTCTTCGTTCTCGATTTCAAGCCAGAGATATTTATTATCTACCCTTCAAGGTAAGTATGAACAGGATAACTTATTTTTAAAATATTTTTTCTATTCATAATAAATTCACTTACTATGGAAATATTACTATGTTTATAGATGTCCTTCTCAATAGCTAATGGTAAGGAAAAAGGATATAGGGTGAAGAAGTGTTACATATGTCTCCTTTACCCCCATTGACTCCTCCCCTGCCAATCCCACCCCCCAGCCCATGCCCTCATCCCCCTAGTGTCTGTGGCCATTGGTTATGCTTATATGCATCCGTACATGCCCTTTGGTTGATCTCTTACACTTCCCCTCCACCTTCCCTCTGAGGTTTGACATTCTGTTTGATGCTTCTCTGTCACTGGATCTCTTTTTGCTCATCAGTATATATTGTTTATTATATTCCACAAATGATGAGATCATGTGATATTTATCTTTCTCCAAGTAGCTTATTTTGCTTAGCACAATACTCTATATTCATCCATGCTATTGTGAATGGTAAGACTTCTTTCTTTTTTATAGCAGCGTAGTATTCCATTATGTAGATGATGTACCAGAGTTTTTTTTAACCCACTCATCTGTTGATGGGACTTAGGCTGTTTCCAAATCTTAGCTATTGTAAATTGTGCTGCTATGAACATAGGGGTGAATGTATCCTTTCTGATTAGTGTTTCTAATCTCTTGGGATATATTCCTAGAAGTGGGATTACTGGGTCAAATGGGAGTTCCATTTTTAATTTTTTGAGGAAACTCCATACTGTCTTCCACAGTGGCTGCACCAGTCTCCATTCCCACCAGCAGTGCATGAGGGTTCCTTTTTCTCCACATCCTCTCCAGTACTTGTCGTTTGTTGATTTGTTGATGATAGCTATTCTGACAGGTGTGAGCTGGTACTGCATTGTCATTTTGATTTGCCTCTCTCAATGATTAGTGACATTGAGCATGTTTTTATATGTCTCTCGGCCTTCTGAATGTCCTCTTTCAAAAAGTGTCTATTTAGATCCTTTGCCCATTTTCTTATTGAATTATCTTCCTTTTGTTAAGTTGTATGAGTTCCCTATAAATTTTGGAGATTAGACCCTTATTGGAGATAACATTGGCAAATATGTTCTCTCATGCAGTGGGCTTTCTTGTTTTGTTGATGATTTCTTCTGCTGTGCAGAAGCTTTTCATTTTGATGCCGCTTTTTATTTTGATGTAGTCCCATTTGTTTATTTTCTCTTTAGTTTCCATTGCTCTAGGAGCGGTATCGATTAAGATATTGCTTCTGTGTATGTCTGAGATTTTGCTGCCTGTGTATTTCTCTAATATGTTTATGGTTTCCTGTCTTATGTTTAAGTCCTTTATCCATTTTGAGTTTATTTTTGTGTATGGTGTAAGTTGGTGATCTAGTTTCATTTTTTAGCATGTTATCTGTCCAATTTTTCCAACACCATTTATTGAAGAGACTGTCTTGACTCCATTGTATGCTCTTGCCTCCTTTGTCAAATATTAATTGAGCATAATGGTTTGGGTTGATTTCTGGGTTTTCTGTTTTGTTCCATTGGTCTATATGTCTGTTCTTGTGCCAGTACTGGGCAATTTTGAGAACAGTGGCTTTGTAATATAGATAGATATCTGTTATTGTTATTCCTCCTACTTTGTTCTTCTTTCTCAGTATTGCTACAGCTATTTGGGGTCTTTTTAAATTCCAAAAGAATTTTTGGAGAGTTTGTTCTAGGTCTGTAAAATATGCCATTGGTATTTTAATGGGGATTGCATTGAATCTATAGCTTGCTTTGAGTAGTATGGACATTTTAATGATGTTGATTCTACCAATTCATGAACACGGTATATTCTTCCATTTGTTTATGTCTTCCTCTATCTCTTTTTTCAGTATCCTGTATTTTTCCGAGTACAGGTCCTTGACCTCCTTGGTTAAATTTATTCCTAGGTATCTTAATTTTTGTATTGCAATGGTAAATGGGTTGCTTTTTTAGTTTCTCTTTCTGTGAGTTCTTTATTGGTGTATAAATAAACCATAGATTTCTGGGTGTTAACTTAGTATCCTGCTACATTGCCAAATTCATTTATTAGTTCTATTATTTTTTTTGATGGAGTCTTTAGGGTTTTCTATGTATAATATCATGTCATCTGTGAATAATTTTACTCCTTATTTTCCAGTTTGGATGCCATTTATTTCTTCTTCTTGTCTGATCACTATGGCTAGCATTTCTAGTACTATGTTGAACAGGAGTGGTGAAAGTGGGCATCCTTGTCTTGTTCCTGTTCTTAGGGGGAATGGTTTTAGATTTTGCCCATTGAGTATGATTTTGGCTGAAGGTTTGTCATATAAGACTTTTATTATGTTGAGGTCTGATACCTCTAGTCCCACTTTGCTGAGAGTTTTTATGTGGAAAGTGTGTTAGATTTTGTCAAATGCCTTTTCTGCATCAATTGATATGATTATGTGATTTTTGTCTCTCAATTTGTGTATGTGATGTATCAGTTAATTGATTTGTGGATATTGTACCAGCCTTGCATCCCCAGAATAAATTCCACTTGGTCATGGTGTATTATCTTTCTAATGTAATGCTGGATCTGATTTGCTAGAATTTTGTTGAAGATTTTAGCATCTATGTTCATCAGGAATATTGGCCTGTAATTCTCTTTCTTTGTAGTGTCATTATCTGGTTTTGGAATTAGGGTAATGCTAGCTTCATAGAAAGAGATTGAAAGTGTTCCTTCCTCTTGAATTTTTTGGAATAGTCTGAGAAGGGTAGGTTTTAGTTCTTTGAATATTTGGTAAAACTGCCCTGTGAAGACATCTGGCCCCGGGCTTTAGTTTGCTGAAGGTTTTTTGATGACTGCTTCAATTTCCTCCTTAGTTATCGACCTGTTGAGATTTTATGATTCTTTTTGATGAAGTTTTGGAAGGTCGTATTTTTCTAGGAATTTGTCCATTTCCTCTAGGTCAGTGGTCAGCAAACTGCGGCTTGCGAGCCTCATGCGGCTCTTTGGCCCCTTGAGTGTGGCTCTTCCACAAATACCGACTTCTGCGCATGGGCCACGAAGTTTTAATCGCACTGTACGTGCACACCCGCACGTGGTATTTTGTGGAAGAGCCACACTCAAGTGGCCAAAGAGCCACATGTGGCTTGCGAGCCGCAGTTTGCCGACCACTGCTCTAGATTGTTTAGTTTGTTGCAGTAGAGTTGTTCATAGTACTTTTTTACAATCTTTTTTATTTCTGTGGGGTCTGTTGTTATTTCACCTCTTTTATTTCTGATTGTGTTTATTTGGGTCCTCCCTCTTTGCTTCTTGATGAACCTGGCTAGAGGTTCATCAATCTTGTTTATCCTTTTAAAGAACCAGCTCTTGGTTTCATTGATCTTTTATATTGGGTTTTTTTTTTTTGGTCTCTATTTCATTTATTTCTTCTCTGATCTTTATTATTTCCTTCCTTCTGCTCAATGTGGGCTTCTCTTCTTGCTTTCTTTCAAATTCTTTAAGTTGTAGAGTTAGATAATTTATTACCAGTTTTTCTTGTTTTTTTTGATGTATGCCTGTATTGCTCTGAACTTCCCTCTCAGGACTGCTTTCATTGTGTCCCATAGATTTTGGAATGCTGTGTTTTCATTGTCATTTGTTTCCAGGATGTTTTTTATTTTTTCTTTGATCTCTTTGGTAACCCAATCATTGTTCAATAACATGCTATTTAACCTCCAAGTGTTTGAATTTTTTTTACTGTTTTTATTTTAGTTTATTTCTAATAATATGACATTGTGATCTGAGAAGATGCTTGATTAAATTTTGAATCTTCTTGAATTTGAAGAGTCTTTGCCTGTGTCCTAATATGTGGTCTGTCTTTGAAAATGTCCCATGTGCACTTGAGAAGAATGTATATTCTATAGCTTTGTGGTAATTAAGTCCATCTGATCTAGTGAGTCATTTAGGATTGCTGTTTCTTTGCTGATTTTTTTGTCTAGAGGATTTATCCAGTGATGTCAACGGGGTATTAAAGTCCCCTACTATGATAGTATTACTGTCAACCTTCCCTTTGATACCTTCCAGAAGTTTTTTTATGTATTCGGGTGCTCCTGCATTGGGTGCATATATGTTTACCAGAGTTATAGTCTCTTGTTTTATTAATCCTTTTAGTATTATGAAGTGGCCTTCCTTATCTGTTGTTATGACCTTCACCTTGAGGTCTATTTTGTCAGATAAAAGTATTGCTACCCTAGCTTTCTTTTTCATTTCCATTTGCCTGAAAAAATATTTTTCCATCCCTTCACCTTCAGTCTGTGTGATTCCCGTGGTTTTAGTAGGGTCTCTTATAGACAGCATATATGTGAGTCATGTTTTCTTATCCATTCAGCCACCTGATATGTTTTGATTAGAGCATTTAATCCATTATGTTTAAGGTTATTATTGATAGGTAGTTGTTTGTAGCCATTTTTATTTTTTATGCCTGTGTTCCTTCTTCTCTTTCTATTTCTTCTTTTTACAACAGTCCCTTTAGCATTTCTTGCATTGCTGGCTTCATAGTGATATGAAGCCTTAGCCTTTTTTTTTTTTTTGTCTGCGAAGCTCCTGATTTCCCCTTCAATTTTAAACGATAGCTTGCTCTGTAGATTATTCTTGGATTCAGTCCCTTGCTTTGCATAACTTTGTATACTTCATTCCATTCCCTTCTGGCCTGATGTATTTCTGTTGAGAAATCATTTGATAATTTAATGGGAGATTTTTTGTAGGTTATTCTCTGTCTCTCTCTTGAAGCTTTTAAGATTCTCTTTGTCATTAACATTTGCCATTGTAATTACGATGTATCTTGATGTGTGTCTTTTTGGTTTTATCTAATGTGGGACTCTCTACGCTTATGTGACGTTTTTCTTCCCCAAATCAGGGAATTTTTCTGTTATTTCTTCATATTGTTTTTCTAAACCTTGCTCCTCTTCTTGTCCATTTGGCACCCCTGTTATATGTATATTACTTGGTTTCATGTTGTCCAAAAGCTCCCTTAAGCTCTCTTCCTGCGTTCTAATTTTTTTCTCCAATTGCTGTTCAGATTGGGTGTGTTTTCTGCCCTGTCTTTTAACTCCACTTCTTCTAATGTAGTGGTGAAACCTTCCATTGTGTTTTTTATTGTAGCTATGTCATTCTTAATTTCCTTTTGATTCTTACATTAGTTCAGTGATGGCGAACCTTTTGAGCTCGGTGTGACAGCATTTTGAAAATCCCTAACTTAACTCTGGTGCTGTGTCACATATAGAATTTTTTTGACCTTTGCAACCATAGTAAAACAATGATTTATATTTTTGATATTTATTTTATATATTTAAATGCCATTTAACAAAGAAAAATCAACCAAAAAAATGAGTTCATGTGTCACCTCTGACATGCGTGTCATAGGTTCACCATCACTGCATTAGTTTTTGATTTTCTCATCCAGCCCGTTTAGGAACTGTGTGATCCTTACTCAGAATTCTTTTTCTGACATATTGCACGCCTCCGTTTCATTTAGTTCTGGTGCTGGCAATTCCTCCTTTTCTTTCCTTTGTGGATTGTTTTTTTGTCTCCCCATTTTTGCTGTCTCTTTCTGGCCCTGGGCTTCCTACTTGGGGTCTGAGGTGTTGAAGCCCCTAGCGGTTCAGTGATCTGGGACTCACTAGACCAGAGGCTGGGTCTGCCTTTTGTTTCACCCCTTTATTGTCTCTGCTCTGATTCCCCCCCCCCCCCCCCACACACACACACACTCCTGCTTCTCCCCTGGTTCTGGTTTCTCAGTTGTCCACTTCAGATTCTTCAGGCCAGCAGGGGTGCATGCACAGTTCCTCTGGCGTGCAATTCCCTGTGAGGGCCCAGAGCCCTCTGGCATGCAATTCACTGTATGGCCTTGGCACCCAAGGTAAGATGGTGCCTTAGGTCCCTCTGGCAGCGCACATGCAGTGTGGTTCTGTGACCTGTGTTTGGGCACACCAGGTAGCACCAGGTAGCACCAGCAGCTCTGACTTGGGCTGGGGGTAGGACGTGCGCCAGGTGACAGTTCTGTCTGTGCCAGAAGACGGAGCCTGCCCGAATGCTCTGACCGAGCCAGTGGGCAGACTCTGCAGTGTACTTGTTCGTAGGGGTGGGTACTCTGAGTCTCATTAAGCGGTCCAGGTGCCGAGTTGTACGGATCCTGTGGCGGCCTTAGCAGGAAGGAGCATACTCCGGGGCTCACAGGAGGCTGTGGCCAGGGAGGCTGGAGTCCTGGAGGCTGTGTGTCTGCAGTTGAGGTAACAGGTCTTTGGCCAGAGTGGTACAGGGTCCCGGATGGTATCTTTGGCCAGTCTGGGTGGTGGTGAGGCTGGGCTCCTAGTCACGGCAGCTCTCCCCTTCAAGATTGCGTGATTTCTGTTCCAGAGCCAGCCTCCCCTGGAGTGCTTGCAGTGGTATCAGGGGCTCCCCATCTAGGAGAGCCCAGTCTGCCAGCCCCTGCAAGATCTAACTGTCCCTCACTCACACACACACCACACATCCATACACTACCTTTTCGCTCCCTTACTCACACTCTCTCCCTCACTGCTGTCCTGCCAGCTGCCATCTTAACACTCCTCCTTTTTTTTTAGATAGTGGTCGGGGGAGAGATAGAGAAGTATGGATATGAGAGAAGCACATCAATTGGTTGCCTCCCATATTCACCCTGACTGGGCAAGGAACTAACCTGCAACTCTGGTACATGCCCTTGACCTGGAATCAAACCTGTGGCCCTTTGGTCTGCAGACTGATGCTAACCACTGAGCAATGTGAACCAGAGCTGTGATTTTTTAAGAAGGTTACTTTTTTTAGAAAATGAAATGTATCAGTAAGTTATTTTTTGCTCCTAATTACTTAGTGTCTGATTAATTCAAAGGTTGGATTGTTTAGAAAACATTTGTACTTAATCCATTATATTCCTTATTAACTGTCTTGATGTTTCTATGTATTTTAGGACCAACTTCAACTGTTATATTCTGTTGGATCCAATGTTTCTGCTGAAAAGTAAGTCAGCTATACATTATTTATTTTTATGTAAATATCTGGACACTTAACATTGAATTTGTATTGCCCATTGATTGATTCATTTGCTCATTTGACAACAATTCTTTGAAGAATTTTTTAGTAGTTGTGGTAAGTGCTGATGATAAAAATAACAAAGAAGATAATAAGATAAAAATCATGGTAAAGACATGATATTTGATGGTAAGAAACTCAACATCTAGAAGAGGTTAAAGATAATTTGACTATTTAAAATAGTTTAACACAGTATAATAAGGTAATACCTTCAAATTGTAGTTGAGAGTTTCTATGGACTTCATAAGGCATTGGCATTTGAGATGGGTACTAAAGAATGAGTAGGCTTTGCCAGATAGATAATGGAATTAAGGAATTCCAAGAATATTTTTAAAAGCATGGGATATGAGAGTATGTCTCATTTTTGAGCCTATAAAAAGCTGCTGGTGGCTAGAGATAGGTTTAGATTGAGATTGTGAGGTGAGGCTGCCAGGTTATGAAAAACTTAACATATTTTGATGGATGTCAGAAACAGATCTGTTATCTAATCATCTTCTGAGTTTTAAATGGAATATTTTAATGTGGAGCTCTTGTTCCTTAATCTAATAGTAGATGTCATTTTCTTAAATTTAACATATTTGTGCATATGATATATGAAAACTATTAGAATAAAATTTTAATACCATTTATCTTTTTCCCCTAGAGTTTCTCAGCTTTTGTCTTTTGCTACCACACTCTGTACCCAAGAATCTTCTACTCTAGGACTTCCGGATTTTCCTTTAGATAGTTTACCAGCTGCAGTTCAAATCCTGGTATGTATAGAATAAATTAACGACTGGTATACCCAAATGTGGCAAAGAATTTAAAAGTTCATCCTTGGATATTCATCACTTTAGTCTGCTTGACATATTCGTTTTAAATATTGTCAGAACTGAGATTAATTTATTGTTCAGTGCAGCAGACTGGACAGAGACCAATGGTATGTTCCGAGCCCTTAAAGAGCTTACAGTCTTAAAGGGGGGAAGGTAGAGATGCAACTCAAGTGAAAATTCCACAGAGAGAAAGACTTTAGCCTGATCACACAGAGGTATGCTCTAGTGTATGTTGTGACTCAGACTTGCCCCTACCTGATGTGAGGGAGCTGGGGCTTTCACATTCTAGCACCATCAGTCATTGGTAAATGGTTGTCCCAGAGTACACAAGTTCCCAGGCACTAGCTAATCTCTCAGCTTGAGCAAAGCTGGCTCTAGGAGCTCAAGGGACATCTTCAAAAGACAGAGGGAGACCTATAACAACTGGCTGCTTGAAGGGAAAGCTGGATGCACAGAAAAGATAAGGACAGATCTGGGGGGATTTGGTGGAGCAGTGACATTGTCCACTACAGTATCACAAAAGTCATGACAGTAGTATCTGGAGGGTGGAAAGGCCCTCCAGGTAGAGGGAACAGCATTTACAAGGGTGTTGAATCATAAAAGGGCCTGGTATTTTTGGAGAATAAGTTGTGTCACTAGAACAAGCCTGTGTAGTGAAGAGAGGGATTAGAACCTTAGAATGAAGTGCTTTACATGGTGAATAAAGTTGTCTGGGTTTTATTATATGGAAGAAGTGGCCTATCAAACATTATTAAGTAGGCCAGGTGTGTAGCAATCAGATATACAGGGGTGAGCAAAAGTACATTTTCAGGTTGGAGGAAGATACCTCTGTTTGCAGGAGGTGGCATGGGGAGAGCCTGGATGCACAGGGAGCATATAGACTGTTAAAATAGTTAGTGAGAGACTCTGCCAAGGAGCCTAATTCGAGGTAGTGGGAACACCACCTAGATGAGACATTTTAATTTGATTTATTTTTATCTTTTTCAAAAGTTTATTTTAATTCTTGACACTATTACAGATGACCCCATTTTTCTTCCACTTTGCCCATCTCCACCCAGCTTTCACCACTCCCCTTCCTTCTGGTCATCACCGTACTGTTGTCTATGTCTATCAGTTCTTTGGCTAATCTCTTCATCTACTTTTATCCAGTCTCCCTCCTCCCTTTCCTCTAACAGCTGTCAGTCTGTTCCTCATATCCATACTACTGTTTTTGTTTGTCAACTTATTTTATTTATTAGATACCACATATAAGTGAGACCAATGGTGTTTGCCTTTCTCTGACTGGCTTATTCCAATTAGCATAATACTCTCCAGGTCCATCCATGCTGTCACAAAAGGAAAGATTTCTTTATATTTACGGCTGAATAGTATTCCATTGTGTAAATGTACCACCACTTTTTTTATCCCCCCATTTATTGATGGGCACTTGGCCTATTTCCAGATCCACTTATCTACTGGTGGGCACTTGGCCTGTTTGCAGATTTGGCTATCCTGTATAATAAAAGGGTAATATGCAAATTGACCCTAACAGCAGAAAGACTGTGAACGACTGGTCACTATGACACGCACTAACCACCAGGGGTCAGATGCTCAACACAGGAGCTGCCACCTGGTGGTCAGTGCTCTCCCACAGGGGGAGTTCCACTCAGCCACAAGCCAAGCTGACAGTTGCAAGCGCAGCAGCAGTGGCGGGAGTCTCTCCTGCCTCCTCGGCAGTGCTCAAGATATCTGACTGCAGCTCCCTATGGGGAGCAGGCCTAAGCCATTAGTTGGACATCCCCTGAGGGCTCCTAAGCTGCCAAAGGGATGTCTGACTGGCAGCTTAGGCCCGATCCCCTGGGGAGGGGGCCTAAGCCAGCAGGTGTACATTCCCTGAGAGGTCTCAGACTGCAAGAGGGCTCAGGCCGGGCTGAGGTACCTTCCCCACCCTCCCCCACCCCCCCAAGAGCAGGAATTTTCATGCACCAGGCCTCTAGTTGTAAATAATGCTGCTATGAACATGGGGGTGCAGATATTCTTTTGAATTGGTGTCTTGGGATTCTTAGGATATATTCTCAGAAGTGGTATCAATAGGTCAAAAGGCACTTCCATTTTTAATTTTTTTGAGGAAACGCCATACTATTTTTCACAATGGCTGCACTAGTTTGCATTCCCACCAACAGTGCATGCGTCCCTTTTCACCACATCCTTGCCAGCACTTGTTTGTTGATTTATTGATGGTAGCCATTCTGACAGGTGTGAAGTGATAGCTCATTGTGGTTTTAATTTGCATCCTAGGGCAAGGGAAACAAAGGAAAAAATAAAGAAATGGGATTACATCAAACTAAAAAGCTTCTGCACAGCAAAAAAAACCATCAACAAAATGAAAAGGGAGCCCACTGAATGGGAGAACATATTTGACAATGATACATCTGATAAGGAGTTAATTTCCAAAATATATAAAAAACTTATACAACTCAATACCAGGAAGACAAACAATCCAATTAAAAAATGGGCAATAGACCTGAATAGACACTGCTCCAAAGAGGACATACAGATGGCCAATAGATATGAAAAGATGCTCAATGTCACTGATCAGAGAGAATTAAAGTCACAATGAGATACCACCTAGATGAGACATTTTTAAAACTTATGTTGCAATTTATTTTATATTTCCTGAGAGTTGGTGAGTTAGGTTTCCCAGGTATTGCTCACATTGTTCTATACATCTAGAACAGTTTTTCTTATCCTTTTTATTATGTCTTTTACTTTTCATTCTTTTTGTTTTTGCTCAGAACTTTTTACTTGGACAATTCTTAAATCTAAAAAGGGTTACAAATATTAAAATGAGCATCTCTAATTCCTTCAAATAGAATCATCAGTTGTTAACATATTGCCACATTTGCTTGCTCTCTGATTTTTTTTTTTTTTTTTTCTGGACCATTTGAAAGTACACAACAGTTAACATTCTTTTTTTTTTTTTTTTTAAAGCGTCCCAACTTCGTCACTTTTACAGACCCAGCTAGGCCCTTTTCTTTTGTTTTTTTTGTGAGTTTTCTTTTTTATTTTTTTCTTTCTTTATTTTTAAATATATGTTATTGATTTTTTACAGAGAGGAAGGGAGAGGGATCGAGAGTTAGAAACATTGATGAGAGAGAAACATTGATCAGCTGCCTCTTGCACACCCCCTACTGTGGATGTGCCCGCAACCGAGGTACATGCCCTTGACTGGAATCGAACCCGGGACCCTTCAGTCTGCAGGCCAATGCTCTATCCACTGAGTCAATCCGGTTAGGGCCACAACAGTTAATATTCTTAATACTTCAGTATGCAACTTCTCAGAATTAGGACATTCTCTTACATAACCAAACACCATTATCATATTAACAATAATTCTATATCATCTAATAGAGGGTCTATACTAAGTTTTCTCTAATTGTCTCTGTTAATAGACTTTTAAAAGTAAGGTGAACTGAATTGAGAAAGCAATTTATAACTTTGAAGCTAGGTGAATGTGGATGAGATTAATTAAGATTAGGAATAAAGATAGAGGAGAAGGGAGTTTGGGACAAGTAGGGTAGGTAGATGTGTTCAGACATGTAGTTTCAGACATGCTGAATGGGGGACAATGGGATATTCATATAGTCATGTCTAATGTGCAATTGAGAGTTCAAGTCTAGAGTTCAAGAAAGAGGTTAGGACTAGGGATATAAACAAGGAAGTCATCAACACATAGATGGTAACTGAAAGATGGGTGTGGGAGAGCTTACCAAAGGAAAGGTAGTGGAACAGGAAGAAAAGAAGAAATACTGAATATTTGCTTATGTAGACTTTTGGGAAATATGAGTACCATATTGGTTATTGTTTATAAGGTAATTTTAATATCATATGTACATTTCGGATAATTTTTTCAAATTTATTTTAGATGTTCCTCACTCATACATGTTTTTGCTCCTAAATAGAATTCCTTTCCTATGATGTCAATCAAACATGCAATCCACTGGCTTTACCCGTACACTATTTTACTAGGACAGGAAGGGAAGATGGCTGTGGAAGATGTTTTAAAAGTAAGTATCTTCTCCCTTTCCCTTTCCTTTTCCTTTTCCCTTTCCCTTTCCCTTTCTCTTTTCCTTACCCTTTCTCTTTTCCTTACCCTTCGCCTATCCCACCCACTCCCCCTTCCCTTCCCTTCTCTTTTCTACCCTCTTCCCATCTCTTCCTTTCTCCTTTCCTACTTTTCTGTCTCTTCCTTTCCCTTTTCTTACTTTGTAGGCATAGGGGTATTGGCATGCCAAAGATGGGGGCAGCAAGCATTGAGGTGGCTGGTGTGGCTGGGAGATTGGTTATACTGAGTAAATATGTAAATCAATTGAACAAATAAGTGAATATATTGAGGAGAATAAGATCTGCATTTTTCACTGTTGGAGCAGGAATTTATAAACAGAAAGGGAGGATGAAAGAACCCTCAGGTATTATACTGGAATTGGAGAAATTGGTATGAACTCATTTTTTTAGTTTTTGTTACTCTCTCTTTTTTTTTGGTCTAAAGTTTTACATATATATCCTTTTTTCCTGCTTGACCCCACTCCCCCAGCCATTCCCACCCTGGGCAAGCCCCACTGCCCCAGTGTCTGTGTCCATTGGTTATGCTAATATGCATGCATACAAGTCCTTTGGTTGCTCTCTAACCGCCTCCTCCCCTGCCATTTATCTCTGGATCTATTCTTGTTCATCAAATTATGTTGATCATTATATCCCACATTTGAGTGAGGTCATGTGATATTTATCTTTCTCTGACTGGCTTATTTCACTTAGCATAATGCTCTCCAGTTCCATCCATGTTGTTGCAAATGGTAAAAGTTCCTTCATTTTTATAGCGGCATAGTATTCCGTTGTGTACTTAGATGTACCACAGTTTTTTAATCCACTCATCTGACGATGGGCACTTAGGCTGTTTCCAAATCTTAGCTATGGTGAATTGTGCTGCTATGAACTTAGGGGTCCATATAGCCTTTCTGATTGGTGTTTCTTATTTCTTGGGATATATTCCTAGGAGTGGGATTACTGGGTCAAATGGGAGCTCCATTTTTGGGAGGAAAGCTTTTGAAGGAGAAGGAATAATCAATGTAAAAGCCCTGAGGCAGGAGCACTCTTAGGGTATCTTATGAATAGCAAAGGACAGTGTGAGGGGGGGCAGGGTGAGGGAAGAAGAGGTGAGGAGGACATGAGGTCACTAGGTAAAGGATATTAGATCATGTGGGGCTTTATAGGTTATTGCCTTCAGTTTGAATGAGATAGAATCTATGTATATAAAAGGCTAATATGCTAAGTGTCCGACCATCTGACTGGTCGCTATGATGCGCACTGATCACCAGGGGCCAGACGCTCAACGCAGGAGCTGCCTTGACGCACACTGGCCATTTACAGAGAAATGGCACCACGGACCTGGTGCCGGCAAAGCCACCCTTGGCTTCCCCCAAGTGGGACACAGGCCCGTCTACCACCTCAGAGTGACAAGAGGGGTCCCAGACTGCAAGAGGGCACAGGTCGGGCTGAGGGGACACCCCCCCCCCCCATGCATGAATTTCATTCACCGGGCCTCTAGTTTAATAATAAATGGCACTGTGGACCTGGCGTCCACAAAGCAACTCTTGGCTTCCCCCAAGTGGGACACAGGCTCCGCCACCACCCCGGAGTGACACCTTACCAAATCACGGCTGATGCTACTGAGACCCCATGGTGCAAAATGCGGTCCACAGCCCAGCCCAGAAATGGCTGTGGGCGCCGGGTAATGACGTCACATAGCAACGTCTGGCTTCCTCTCCCTAGCAACTAGCCTGCTTGGAGTTTATTCAGCCCAGGAACACGACTTGCTTTATAGCCAGGTGGAAACATTTTACACTTTAACCAAATGTCTGTGAAGCATTTTCCCATGCCCCATCTTATTTGATCCTCACAGAAGTCCTAGGGTAGGTAGATAGGAGACTCAGTGGAATCCTATTTTCTTTTCATTAGCCAGAAAATGGAGGTTTAGAAAACTTAGAAACTTGACCTGACTGAAAAGAAGTAAGAAATGGTGGACCTTGAAAATGACTTCAGGTTGAATTTGGTTGACACTTCTATTATAGAAAAAGGGAAGATAATGATATTAAAATATTTCTTCTAATTAATTTCCTTTCATTGTCCATGAATCCATGCACCAAGCACTAGTGTCATTATAAGATTTTGAACATAGGAAGCTCTTAAACTGAACCTCTTAACAGGCTCACTCAAGTTACTAAAAAGTGAGTAGACGGTGGAGAATAAGGGTGTTGTGGTAATCTAGTTAAGAGAGTATGGCTTTGACCAGCTTTGAGCTTGGTAAGAAGTCTTTGCTTTTGGGTCATATTTTGAAGATAGAATGTGATATGCTGAAGAATTGGAAGTAGGGTTGAGACAAAGAGTTAAGGATAATTTCAAGCTTTTTGGACTGAGCACCTGGAATGATAAAGTTGGAGATAGAGAACATGGGAGGAAGATCAAGACCTGAGTCTTGTGTTTATTGAATTTAAAATGCAAGTGGAAATGTCAAGGGGCAGTTGCATATACAAATCAGGAGTTTAAGAGAGTAGTCTGCATTTCTAGGAGAGAGAAAGTGGGAGTCAAACTGGATAAGATTATTTACAAAGTGAACATAGGTAGAAAATGTAAAAGATCCACTCTTAGAGTAACCTAACATGTACTGCTCAGGTAGTGAAAGAAGGACCTGCAAGAGAGACCAAGAAGGAGGAAACAGTAAAATAAGAAAAGTAATTTATTTAATTTGGTAATAAATAGGATATTATTGGTTGACTTACCAGGAGCAGGGCAAATAGAGTGGTGGGATTGTAAGCCATAAATTAGTGGGCCAAATAGTAACTCAGAGATGAGGAAGCTGAAACAGTGATTACTTACTTACTTGTAAAATAAGTTTGATGGTGAGCAGAAACAAATAGGTGGTGGGTCACTCAAGGATGATGTAGAATTAAGAAATGGCTTATTGTTTGTTTCTTGGAATGGGGAGACAAATGACTTCATAGGAAAAGGGGACAAAATCTGTGGAGAGCATGGAAAATACTTATAGAAATATGGTCTGGGGGAGGCAGGAAAGGACATTTCCAGAGCATCATTGTACCCTGATTTGGAATAGTGGAAAACATATTTTGTACCTAGCAACTGGAATGATCCTAAACTGAGATGGAGAAAGTAGACTTCTACTGATTTTTCCATCAACTCATAATGAAAGGAGAAGTCCTTTTTACTGAGACAGTGGGAAAGAATTAAGCATTGATGAAAATGTAGATGATTTTGAGGATGAAGGAAAAATAATTTAATTTGTTTATTCATTTAACAAATCTTTCCTGACCATTGACTATGTTCTTTGTGTCTGATTCTAGGTTCTGGAGATTTAGAGTGAACCAAATAGATACATTTTGATATTACTCTAATGTGGTTAATATTCTTGTGAAGTGTGAAGGTGTATGTGCCTGAAGGCTCTGATGTGGGTGGCAGAAGCAACTAGATTACCTGCTGAGACAGGGATGAATGAGTTCAGATAGATTCCTAAGGAGAAAAGTAATGGTTTATATCAGTTGCTAAAGGGCTTTGGGAAGAGCCCAGCAGAGACTGGAGGCTACATCATATTTATTCAGTAGCCAGACAATATGGTATGGTGATTTTCTCTGTTAGTGCTCAAAAGCTTAGAAAAGGGTATGAAGAAAATAAATAGCTTGGTGGGTCAGGATTGGGAATTGTGAGGGTGAATATGGAGGCCTTGCAGACCAACATCCTTGTGATTTACATTTCCTTTTATTTAATTACTAGGGGCCCGGTGCATGAAATTCGTGCACCTGGGGGGGGGTGGCCCTCAGCCCAGCCTGCCCCCTCTCACATACTGGGAGCCCTCAGGGGATGTTCTACTGATGGCTTAGGCCTGCTCCCTGCTCCCCTTGGGGTGCGGGCCTAAGCCGCAGTCTGGCCTCCCTTTGTGGGAGGCAACCGGGCTGATCAGGGGGAGGCACCAGCCCCATCACCCTGCTGCTGCAGCCACTGCCAGTCACCGCAGCCACCAAGGTTTTTTCATCAACACGGACTCCAGTCCCTTCACCATGAAAAAATGACAACTTCCTTTAGGCATTTTCAAGATTTGTCTTTCATAGGATATGACATTTCTTTATTATTTTTTTTATCCTCACCTGAGGATATGTTTCCATTGATTTTTAGAGAATGTGGAAGAGAAAGGGAAAGACAGAGAGAAACATCAAAGTGAGAGGAACACTATGGTTGCCTCCTGCATGAGCCCTGACTTGGGCCCAGCCAGGGAGGAGCCTGCAACCTAGGTACATGCCCTTGGTCAGAATTGAACCCAGACCCTGTGGTCGGCAGGCTGAGGCATTATCCACTGAGCCAAACTGGCTAGGGCAGAATATGACATTTCTTAGCCCTCCAGCAGCGGACCTTCCTTTTTTTTTGCCAGGAGTGTGGTGAAAAACCCTAGATCACCTTTTTGGATTTTTATTACCCAAGTTACTAAGAATATTACCAGTGGCATACAGGGAGCTTAGCCAATGAGCAGTCAGAAAAGGTGTTTCCTCTGTAGTTCACACCGATCTCTGGCTCGGCCCCCCGCCCAGGCCTGACGCCTCAGCCAGAGGTGTCGACCCCCATCACCCTCTGATTGCTGGATCTGCCCCTCGCCCAGGCCTGACGCCTCTGAACCAGGCATCAAACCTGGGCAGGGGAGCCCCAGACCCCTCTGATCGCCGGCTCTGCCCCCTGCCCAGGCCTGACGCCTCTGGCTTAGGCGTCAGGCCTGGGCAGGGGACCCCCATCTTCCCCCATCACCGACTCCCCCCCTGCCCAGGCATAATGCCTCTGGCCGAGGCTTTAAGCTTGGGCAGGGCCCCCCCCCCCCCCACAGCTCCGATGGCCTTCTCTGCCCCTGCCCAGGAGCCCCCTGGCTCAGGCCCTTCCTATGCTGCTCAGGGCCCACATGGGGGCACCTTGGAGTGACCTGGGTGCCAATGATGTTCCCGGGACCCAGGCTGCTGGGCGCCTATGTATTCAAATTAACCGCCATCTTTGTTGGGTTAATTTGCATACTCATCTGATTGGCTGGTGAACGTAGTGGAGTGACACCAATTTGCATGTTTCTCTTTTATTAGTGTAGATACTTCACAGTTCAAATAATGTAATCCCAAAGAAAGTGTAACAAAAACACATTGGTACTGTTTGTTTAATTGAAATTCAAGGTTTCACAGGAAATAGTCATTAATATAAAATGATAAAGTAAATAAACTTGGTTTTCTACATCTTGCTAAGATGTAGCCTATAATAATTATATATCTACTACAGGCCCAGTGCACGAATTTGTACACCAGTGGGGTCCCTTGGCCTGGCCTGTGGCATCAGGCCGAAACTGGCTCTCCAACATTCCCTGAGGGGTCCCAGATTGCGAGAGGGTTCAGGCCAGGCCGAAGGACCCTACCAGTGCACAATTGGGGCTGGGGAGAGACATGGGAGGTTGGCCAGCCAGGAAGGGACCGTGGGAGGGCTCCAGGGCGTGTTCGGCCTGTCTTGCTCAGTCCCCATCGGTCAGACCCCCAGAAGCAAGCTAACCTACCAGTCGGAGCGTCTGCCCCCTGGTGGTCAGTGCACATCATAGCGATTGGTCGACCGGTTGACTGTCTGCCCCCTGGTGGTCAGTGCACATCATAGCAAGCTGTTGAGTGGCTTTAGCATATTATTAGCATACTAGAGGCCCAGTGCACGAAATTCGTGCATGGGTAGGGTCCCTAGCGGCTGCCAGATGCCAGCAGGGGCCTCCCTTCCCTGGCTACCGACCTGGGCCTACCTTCGTTCTGCGCTGCCCACTGGTGGTCAGCGCACATCATAGCGAGTGATTGAATTCCCGCTTGGTTGAACTCCTGAGGAGACATTTTGCATATTAGACTTTTATATATATAGATTACGCTTTGGTTGAACGGCCAACCGGACACTTGATACAGCATATTAGGCTTTTATTACATAGGATTTTACTCCTCAGTTGCCTTTTTGATCAACAGTCTTCTAAATTTCCTATGCTGGCAATGGTAATTCACCTTTCAATTTGAGTTCTTTTACTATCTTAGTTTATTCTAGCCTACTATTATTATCCTACTGAAATATTTTAGCTTGAATTATTTATAATGATGTAACCAGTTTAGCAAATGGTTCAAGGCATTATTTTCATTTCTGGAATATAAGTGCTCTGACATCAATCCTATATTAACTTAGACCAGTGGTTCTCAACCTTCCTAATGCCGCGACCCTTTAATATAGTTCCTCATGTTGTGGTGACCCCCAATTCCATTGTTACAAATTGAACATAATTAAAGGATAGTAATTAATCACAGATACAATATGTAATTATATATGTGTTTTCCGATGGTCTTAGGCGACACCCCTGTGAAAGGGTCGTTCAACCCCAAAAGGGGTCATGAACCACAGGTTGAGAACCACTTACTTAGACTGACAGTATTATAGGTGGGGTAAAAACATACCTTTAAGTACATATGTTTGTTTTCTTAGAATGTAATGTCTCTAGGTTCTAAACTCTCATGAATTTAAACACTTGGCTAAGGTCTTATTCCTTTCCTATTAAATCTCCTTCAAAATACAGTGTAATTTTTTCCAAGAGCTTGAAGTGTCAATAATTGTCATATGCCTATGACTTGGAAGCAGTTCCTACCAAATTATGTGATACTATGGGCATTTGCATATATAAAATGTATAAAGTGTAAAACTTACTCTGTGTAGTCGCACTAACAGATAACTTTTCTTAGGTTTGGGGAAAAGAGTGAGTGATTGTCTTAAATACTTATGATACCAAACGAAGATTTGAACTAGTCTGCTATGTTTAGAATGTTGAGGTTGAAGATAATTTTCTTTTAAAAAATCTATTTTCTTGGGTTGTGTCATTCTGTTGAGTAAGTGGTGATCTATTCTTTCATTGAGGTTCAATCTTTCACTGTAGTGATAATGTTATGGTTGGATTGGGGGAGCAATTATTTCTGCCTGTTTAATACTAAAATGTATTAAGCTTTTCATATTGAACATGCTGCTATTAGTAGGCCATAGTATTTAATTAATTTTAAATTAGTATTCTCATTTGTCATATACTTATTTGTGTTTTCTCTGTGCCTTTTTTACATAACTAGGGGGTATCACCAAGTTAGAGCATTGCTAATTGGCCCACATGGAGAAAGAGTCAATGTTGTTGGCCTTTTAAATCCAGTTTGATAATATTGAGAACCTACACTGTAGAAGGCACTGTGCCAGATACTGTGGAAGATTGGTTGTTATAATTCATTGTAATCAGTTAAGCTAACCACACACACAAACAAGCAGAATTATGTCTATGAAGTTCCGGTTTCATGAATTTCAGGTCAGTTTATTTAAGAAATCAACTGATACAGGCCTTATTTTACTTTACATGTTTTCATGAGTTTCATCATCCCTTTCTAGGAAACTGGACATTTTTATTATCAAGAAATGTAGGCTGCAAACTTCTACCAGTCAGAAATTCAATAATTCCATTTCCTGTCCTTAGTAAAATTTGGGGACTATTTTCATATCACTTTTAGTAATTGGCGTAAGTAGAATGGTATTCATGAAAGTAGGAAAAAAATTCTCTTTAATTTTTTTACCTCTACCTTTATAATGTAGAGTGAGTTTCAGTTCTAATAAGACAGAATCTTCAAGATATCCAACATTAATACTAAAATGAAAAGTCCATGATTTTCTTGTAATTTTACAGCGCTTTGAACTCCAAGATTCAAGAAGCTCTTTGCTTCCTGAAGAGATTGTGAGAGTGGAAAGGATGACTGAAAATCACATCTCCCAAGCTTCTGTTACTGTCCGGATTGCAGGAAAAGAGGTGACCATTAAGGTAATGAGTCAGAGATTATACTTTAAAAAATATTGATTTAAGAGAGAGGAAAGGGGAGAGAGAGAAACATCAGTGTGAGAAACATCAATTAGTTGCCTCTCATAAGCACCAAGCCCGGGGATTGAACAACCTGCAACTTGGGTATATGCCTTGACCAGAATCAAACCTGCCACCTTTAGGTATATGAGATGATGCTCCAACCACCTGAGCTACACTGTCCAGGGCCAGAGTTTATACTTTCTAAGATGTGCCTGGTTCTGCCTATTTTTATGACCTACATTGGGTGTATGATCCCCTTATTATTATTCTTTGGCTCTATAGCATCTGCATAGCTGTATCTATATTTATCTATGTCATGTATGTTTTAAACTGGAAAAGTTCAGGAGAAACATATGGATAGCCTTTTATTAAAAGCAAAAGTTGACCTCTGAGAAAATGAAGTTAAGTGTTGATTAATGAAAGCATTTTGTAGTCGGAGTCCTTAGTAAGAAACAGTCAGTCTTTTCAAACAAATTTTAGCAGCTAGGGAATACTTTTTAAATAAAATTTTTGTTAACTACATGGGACAGTTGAAAGAAGAGCTGTTCTAGTGAACAGTTTTCAGAGGAGGGGAATGATATTTGGTCATAGAGCTCCATTTGCTTGCTCTACCATCCTTTCTAACCCTTTCTTTGAGCTCCCTAAGAACCTTAAGAGGCGATGGAAACTATCTCAAGGAAGCCCAACTTGGAAAAAATCCTGACTTAAATAAATTATAAATAAATAGAGGAAAGAAAAGGCTTGCCTTCTTATGTTGTGACAGACCAAACTTTAATTATAGACTTTTTGTTGTGTTTTAATGTGATATCATTAATACTTATTCATGTTACTGTTTTACTCATTCATCAAACTGAACATTGATTATGTCTACTATGACCTAGGCTCTGTATTAGGCTTTACTAGTGCTACTGTGTACTAGTCACTGTATTTGTCTCTTTGTATATATTATGCTATTAAATCTCCCAGTAACCCTGGAGTTAATTTTATTATTTCCCTTTTACAGATTAGAAAAACTGATATAAAGAGAGTAATCAATTCACCCATGATCACCAGCTAGGAAATATCACTGCTGGGACTTCTAGACAGGATTATTTTCCACTATACCTTTCTGTGTCCTTCAGATGAATGACTTCACCAAGCTAATGGTCAGGGATAGAGGTAGATAAATAGGGACTGCATTGGAATGGTTATGGGGATATAGAGAAGGAAGTAATACAGGAGTCAGAAGGAGTAGAGTAAGTTTCAGAGAGGAGGTAGGACTTGAGCTAAGTCTTGAAGTATGACATAAGAATTTTCCAGTGGCCCAGGGATAGAAAGATGAAAGGACATTATAGGCATTCTAAACAGTAAATCCAGAGACATGAGGTATGAGCAAGGTTTCATTATTTCCTTCCTTTTAGTGATAGTTTTCTAACTTCATTGCCTCCAGTCGCTTCCAGTTAGCCTTCTATGTTACCACCAAGCTGATCTTTTTAAAATGAAAATCTGATCTTGTCACATCCAAACTTACAGTTCTTTAGGGTTCATGTGTATATGGTATGATTAAGCCCAGAGTCCTCAGCAGAGCATGGAGATCTTCTTCTGATAGGAGACTAATAAGGAGGAGATAGAAAATAGAAGAAGTAGGTATATGGGATTCGAGGAGAGATTTTAAGAACAGATGCTTCTGAGTGGTTAACTAAAACAAGAGTGGGAAAGGATTTATGGGCATGGATTTCAAAAGTCAGCAGGTCATTGGTGACTTTGGAGAGTCCCAGTGGACTTATTTTAAATTCTGTGCTTATAACTGGAATTTGGACAAAAACCTTCATTCTCAAGTAGTGACATTGTTATTATAAGTTATAAATAGGATGAAGATTACATGATTCTTATGAAAATATCTGCCAGCATGGGTCTTTCATTTTAGAGGGATGATTGATTTGGAGGTTGGTTGATGATCATCAGATCTGTGAATGAGAAAATAGTTGCTGCTCTATTAAAATATCAAAAAGAGTATAGAACAGTGGTCGGCAAACTAGTCAGTCAACACAGCCAAATATCAACAGTACAAAGATTGAAATTTCTTTTGAGAGCCAAATTTTTTACATTTAAACTATATAGGTAGGTACATTGTTATTAACTTAATTAGGGTACTCCTAAGGCTTAGGAAGAGCCACACTCAAGGGGCCAAAGAGCCACATGTGGCTCGCGAGCCGCAGTTTGCCGACCACTGGATAGAATTGAATTGAGCAAGAAATTAGTAGGGGCTTTAAATGGCAGTTATATGCTTTTACTTACTAATATTTTGAGAAAACCATATGCTTATTATATTTACCTCTCTTTTATTACAGGTGCCAGCTGGGACTAGGCCATTCAGTCAGCCTTTTGCATCAGAACGTTTTATACAGACTTTAAGCCATAAACAACTACTGGCTGAAATGATGCAGTCTCACATGGTTAAGGACATATGTTTAATTGGAGGAAAAGTAAGAATGGCAGCCTCACTGCAAACTTCTGTTTCCTGACTTTTGGTTGTTTTGATTTATCTCTTAAATGATTGTGTTTCTGTTTATAGGGTTGTGGAAAAACAGTCATCGCTAAGAACTTTGCAGATACCTTAGGATACAACATAGAACCTATCATGCTCTATCAGGTACAATGTCCATTTTTAGCACTTGTACTATAAACAAATATGTGTAGACCATCAGTAGAATTTGTAGGTATTTTCCTTTAACTTATGACCTATTAATTTAGATGTAGATAAATAACTGAAATAGCAATCAAATTGCAAGTATAATTATTTTGAACTTTGAAGGTATGTTCTAGGATATCTGGTGGGCACAGCGTGCCAGGATCTCTTTTTAAAGGGAGATTCATTGTACATGCATGTACAAACACACAGTACATTTAATCGTAATTTGGAATTCTAAAAAAGGTGCATTTTAGCAGCAGTGGGATATAAGTAGGTACTCACCAAATAGATTATTTTTTGTTGTGGTAAAATATGCATAACATAAAATTTACCATTTTTATGTGTACAATTCATTCGCATTAAGTACATTCACAATGTTGTGTAACCGTCACCACTATCTATTTCTAGAACTTTTTATCATCCCAAATAGAAACTCTGTACCAATTAAACAATAACTTTCAATTCATCCCTTCCCCCAGACTCTGGTAACCTCTGTATAATTTTCTATCCCTGTTAATTTGCTTATTCTAGTTACCTCATATAAGTAGAATCATATACTTTTTATCCTTTTGTCCCTAGTTAATATTACTTAGCATATAGTTTTCAATATTTAGCCATGTTATAGCATATATCAGAATTTCATTAACTTTTTTTTTATGGCTGAATAATATTTGGTTGCATGTATATGCCCCTTTTTGTTTGTCCATTCACACACTGATAAATTTTGGCTATTGTAAGTAATTCTACTATAAATTATTATACAATAATTGTACAAGTATCTGTTTGAGTCCCTGGGTATTCCTGAATCATATTGTAATTCTGTGTTTAACCTGTTGAGGAGTCCATAGTAGCTGCACCATTTTACATTTCCACCAGCAATTCACAGGTTCCAATTCCTTCATTCTAGTATTCTTGTCAATACTTATTTTGTACTTTATAGTAGCCATCCTAAAGGGTGTGAAGTGGTAACTCATTGTAGTTTTGATATTGAGCATCTTTTCATGTACTTATTTGCCATTTGTGTATCTTGTAGAAATGCCTATTTAAGCTTCTTGCCAATGTTTTAACTGGGTTGTCTTTTTTGTTATTGAGTTGTAGGCGTTCTTTATGTATTCTGGATATAAATTCATTCTCAGATATATGATTTGCAAATATTTTCTCTCATTCTGTGGGTTGTCTTCTCACTGTCTTCATAGTATCTTTTGATTCACAAAGGTTTTAATTTTGATAAAATCTAATTTATCTTTTTGTTGCCTGTGTTTTTGGTGTTATATTCAATAAATTATTGCCAAGTCCAATGTTATGAATTTTCCCTCATGTTTTCTTCTAATAGTTTTACAGTTTTAGTTCTTACATTTATATCTCTGAGCCATTTTGAGTTACTTTTTATATATGGTGTAAAGTAAAGGTCCAGCTTCAATCTTTTGCATGTGGATATCCAGTTTTTCCAGCACTATTTGCTGAAAAGACTGTCTTTTTCCCATGGGATGGTCTTGGCATCCTTGTCAAAAATCAGTTGACTTTATATGGAAGGGTTTATTTCTGGGCTCTCCATTCCGTTGGTCTATATGTCTGTCATTATATCAGTATCACACTGTTTGGATTGCTTTAGCATTGTAGTAAGTTTTGAAATCAGGAAGTGTGAGACCTCCAGCTTTGTTTTCTTTTCCAGAATTGCTTTGCTGTTTAGGGCCCCTTGAGATTTCATATGAATCTTAGGTTATGTTTTTCTACTTAGGAAAAAAAATGCTGTTGAAATTTAATAGGGATTTCATTGAATCTGTAGATCGCTTTGGGTGGGTAGTATTGTCATTTTAATATTGTCTTCCAATCTGTGTCCATGGATGCTTTTCTGTTTATTTATGTCTTTAAGTTCTTTCAGCAGTGTTTTATATTTTCAGTGTATTAGCCTTTCATCTCTTTGGTTAATTTATTCCTATGTGTGTTTTAGTAGATTATTTTAGTGGATGTACATGTTGTACACAGTATGATGAAACAGCAAACTTAACAGCTTGTGTTTTTACAGAGTGAAATTTTCTGTCATGTATTTTTTGGTGATAATGTATCCTAAGACATTTTTATTCTTCTAATTTATTGATTTTATATATTAGTCTTTGGGTGATTTTCCTATTTTTTTACTTAAAGAAGAGCCTCTCTTTTTATTCTTTGAACAGTTCTGGAAGTGATTGTGATCCTGTTTATTTACATTTTAGGATGCATTTTTTTTTGTTTGTTTATTCTTTGGTTAAACATTTTTATTTTTACTGAATATATTTATATATAAAATGTTCTTAATTTTTTCCTGGCCAGTATTCTCCGTGGATAGAGCTTCAGCCCACATACCAAGGGGTCTCAGGTTTGAACCCTGGCCCAGGTCAGGGCACGTGCAAGAGGCAAACAATTGATCTGTTTCTCTTTCATTGTTATTTCTCTCTCTGTCTTTCCCCCTCCCTCCCTCCCTTCCACTCTCTCTAAACAATACCCCTGGGTGAGGATTAACAACAACAACAAAAAGTTCTTATTTTTGAAAAATGACATTTAAACCAGCTTCTTGTAGTGACCTTAGGTCACAGAAAATTTTGTTAACAACTCATATTTCAGATGATTATGTTGAGGATACTGCTTCATGCTGCTGTAAGGTACTTTGTGCCTATTGGTTGAAGTGGTCAGAATTTAGAAGGAATTGTAATCACATGGTACTGGTAACTTTTGGGCTATAAGCAAGATAATCTATTGTAAAAGATATGTGAGAATTCCCCCTGAAATTAAATTTTCTCTTTCTTTTGTGTAGTTTAACTCACTCAGAGCACCAAGTTATTTAGGATTTGGACTTACATTGAAAATAATTTTAGAAACAAAAGAGAAAACATCCTTCCTTTGTACAAAACTATGGTGGCTTTATACCCCTACTATTTTGTACAATTTTCATTGTCATATTTCAAGAAAGATAGTAAAGGTATGTAGGTAAAAAAGGAGATGAAGGAAAATAGATAATTAACTGATTGGAAAACTTAATAGGTTCAAATATTTACTAAGATGTACTTTATGATTTTAAAAGATGAAATCAATAAAAAAGCATGTGATCAAGATTATGAAGTCATGAAGAATATGAATTAAGATGAAGATACTTAAATTAGTGGTGATTTTATCTGAGTCTTGAGAGATAAACATGTAATGAAAAGAAAATAAATGTTTATGTTGTACAGCCGGCAGCAAGTATTGGAACTCACTGAAAGTATTTTTTGAAATTAATTTTTATGTATTGATTCTAGGTCTATTGCATTTTTTAAAGGGAAATAAGGAATTTGGGGGAGGGTAATATCTTTAACTTCGTTTATGGAAGATACCATGAAGAATACCCTACCCTCTTACAGAATTACCTCTCTTGGTATCTTCATCAGAGGTTAGAAGTCAGGTGGTTAGCTCAGTATGCTAGTTCATCTGTCCTTCACCCTCCACAGTTCATGTTAAAAGTGATCTGAGGAGGACATTCTATCAACTCATCAACCTCTTAACCATCAAATTTCTAGTTTCCAATGAAAATACTTTTCTACCAAATACTGGGGTAGAAAAGAATCATCAATGTTATTGTAAAACAGGTTAAATTCTATTATAAATATACGAGTGACCCGGTGCACGGATTCATGCACATTGAAAGGAAATTAATTAGAAGGTGGACGGTGGGGCGGGACTGGGTGAGACGGGCTGGACATGCCCTGGAGGCAACCTCCTGCTTGAAAGGCTTCTGTCGAGTGAGCGGGGTTCCTCTGGCAGGTGGGGTCCCTTGCCTTGGCCTGTGGGGATTGGGCCAAAACCAGCTCTCCAACATCCCCTTAGGGGTCCCAGAGTGTGAGAGGGCACTCTGCAAAGATGCTGTCGTACAGAGCGTAAAACAGGTTGTTCTATTATAAATATACTAGAGGCCCGTTGCATGAAAATTTGTGCACTGAAGGGGGCTGCCTCAGCCTGGCCTGCCCCCTCTCACAGTCCCGGAGCCCTCAGGGGATGTCCTAAGCCGCAGTCTGGCCTCTGCGGGAGGCTACCAGCTGATCAGGGGAAGGCACCGCCCCCATCACCCCCTCGCTGCTGCTGCCTCTGGCCTCCCTCTGTGGGAGGCAATCAGGCGGATCAGGGGAAGGTGATGCCCCCATCTAATATGATCTAGACCAGGGGTCCTTAAACTACGGCCCACGGGCCACATGCAAATACAAATATTGTATTTGTTCCCGTTTTGTTTTTTTACTTCAAAATAAGATATGTGCAGTGTGCATAGGAATTTGGTCATAGTTTTTTTTTAAACTATAGTCTGGCCCTCCAACGGTCTGAGGGACAGTGAACTGGCCCCCTGTTTAAAAAGTTTGAGGGCCCCTGATCTAGACTGATAAAAGGGTAATATGCTAATAAGACTGGATGTCTTCCGTATGTCCTTCCGGACAAAGCTGCAGCGGCTGCCTGAGCCTCGGCCCGGCTCTCACACCAGCAGCTGCCATCTGCAGCTTGCCTGAGCCTGGGCCCGGCCTTTGCAGCAGCAGCAGCCACTATCCACGGCTTTGTCTGGAAGGACATCGGAAGACATCTGGTCTAATTAGCATATTGCCCTTTTATTAGTATAGATTATATTCCATTTTATACGACAAGGGTAAATACAAGCATAATTAACCTCTTCAGGTGCCATTGCTTTGAAATCATATGGAAAAGACCTTTTTTTTTTTTTTAAATATTTTATTGATTTTTTACAGAGAGGAAGGGAGAGGGATAGAGAGTTAGAAACATCGATGAGAGAGAAACATCGATCAGCTGCCTCCTGCACATCCCCTACTGGGAATGTGCCCACAACCAAGGTACATGCCCTTGACTGGAATTGAACCTGGGACCCTTCAGTCCGCAGGCCGATGCTCTATCCACTGAGCCAAACCAGTTAGGGCGGAAAAGACCTTTTGAGGATGATACTTATTTTCTCT